ACATGGATCCAGCGTACTTCATACCTCGTGATCGTGATGAAAGATTTTCTAACAAGAAACCTGTTTATAGCAGCCACCTGCAGACCGGTAAGAAAAAATATCAGAATGAATGCAAATATTCACCATTTTCTAAATATACGGAAACTGAGCACTAATTATAATCGTTCACGTCCAGTAAGAAGGTAGCTTGTGTCCTGAGGGAACATGCAAAGAAGCATGATTGGGAAGAAGTAGAACAAAGGAGAACAGAAGAAGAGGTGAGTAGACGACCCAGAAAGTGCACAAAATCCATGTACATATGGTAAGAAGATAGTTAAGCACCAATCAGTAAACACACAAGAGGAACTACGAGAGGACAGCGTGGATATTTCATACTTATACACTCACAACAGCCCACTTTCGTAACGCAGAACCCACGAAACGTACCCTCTTTCTACGTTTTATCGTTTAATCCTACCATCAGCAGCTCTGTTATTCTCCTTCATTAGCAAAACCTTCTTCGCCACACGTCGACATAATTCGTCGGTTCATTTTTCTCAGGAATATATCGCCTCAGATATCGCAATTCGATCTTGCACGAAGATTAGCTTGTCTCTCATGACTTACATGGTTGTTGAGAATACCTTATTATTATCAAGTCGGTTTTAAAAATATCACCATGCATTTTCATCTACCAGCCAATCCACAACATAGGCTAAGTGGAAGCGTTCTGAAGTTGTTTTCGTCTCAAGTAACCTGTAATCGCCAACAATTCATGCGACTACATACCCCGCATTCAAATTTATATATAGTACGCAACTTAGCTATTTAGTAGAATATGCTCCATGTTCGAGGCTGATAAAAATACTAATGACGACACTACCTCATAATTACCTGTTGTCAGTCGAGATTAGTTGTTTTGTGGATACTGTTTTGACTCCATGGTTCGTTCGGTTGGGAGTGAGAAGCTGATACCCAGAAAAATAAATAACGCTGCAGTTATGCTGTGGAGTAGAGTTCATCACTCCACGTTCGGTTCATAGACTATGTTTTACATTAATCTGCAGTTACCATGGTGCTTTGTCAATCGGTCACAGGTATGGTGAAATATCGCTCCCCATAACCACCCAGAAATTAGAAAATTGAATGTGTTTTCGAGGTAGAATATTCTGATGTAAGTCGTATACACTTATGAAACTGCTGACTAGATAAAAAATTTTCAGCATCAAGCATGAAAGTTGTACAGAGTATGAATATCTGCAGCAAGACTTAGTTCCTACTGCAACTTCAGTCATTTTGAAAGGTACCACGATATTCTCCCGCAGATCTAGTGGTCGAGAAGTTTTCGTTACACACGGCCTCACGTGTTACTAAAGGATCATAGACATATTAAGAAGTCATGAATCAATGAAAAACAACAATCCTCATAACTCTATAATGAATAAAAGTAAGAAGTGTCATGATGTATGTGACAGTCAATTTTATTAGTATCGCTCGACCGGGTGGGTAGACAGCTTTAAGATTCAAATCAGACAGTGGTATTTAGTCAAACGCGGAAACTTTATGAACGACAATTTACGGCGAATAGCTGATAACAGAACGGAAATATTGACGCTTGTCAAAAAGTTAATAAAAGAATAGTTAACATGATGCAATGCAGCAGCTGTCATGGTGTAGTTATAACTAAGAAAATTCCTCAAAGACTCCGTTCTCCTGAAGGTCCTCACTTAGACATAAGCGGTCGGGACGTAAAACAACTTTTCAATTGAAAGCTATTTAACCCTAACGAAACAGAAACTTTCATTAGACCTATGAAGCTTAAACTTGGTTGAGTGATTCAACATCGTTTGAACGTTGCGTTTTAGTGCATACTTAGTTTTAACAGTTGGACAGCTGTCACAGCGCCATTTACGGACCTATTTTCCAGAGATGTCTGAGGACCCACAGTTAGATCTATTAAACCACAAGTTGCAGCTTCAACAGGTTTAATTTAAGTGCGTTACATTTCTCTCTGTTTAGGTCGAAGCAGCTCTCGAGCTGGACCCAGAAAATGTGGAGCTTCTACAGCTGAGACGGGATCTCGAGGAAGTCATTAAACTATCGCTTGAGTTATTGGGCAGGACGTCTGATACTCCAGAAGTATTGTGGAATGTTGGCGACCAGTGCACAGCAATAATGCACTTCTCTGCGCTTTTGCTCCCCGACTGTGACTGCTACTTTGACGTTGTGGTCGGGCTTGCCTATGTTGATGACCCAACTAAGCTATATTGGCTGTGATATATGTTCCTGAATGCTCTATCATGCCAGGCAGGTAGAGTGCGAACGGTCAGACTTAAAGCTGCTACTCAAAGTCTGAGAGGGTAGTCGTACTGCTGACTACAGAGGCGTGTGACAGCAGTGAGGTTTTTCCCTCAGACAACCAGCATCTGTAGCGATTCTGCCTTTTCAAAAGGAAGGAAGGCGTTAGAAAAGGTCGAGCCTTAGAATTTCACACCTCAACCTACCTCATGGATTTCCGTCTCTGGTGGTAAGCGCTGCCCACTAAAAGCTTTTAAGAGCGGAGCTAATACTCAGAAAACCTTTCCTAAAACGCCCGTGCGTGACTGGCTCAAGCTGTTGCTCCTTGGACTCTGAGGTCAAGCCCCCAGGTCTCTAAGACTGACATTATTCTATATTCCTTTTCAGGTCCCTCAAGGAACACCCACAGTGTGGGCAGCCGGGAAGTAACATCCGCCCCGATACCCGTAACAGCACGCGAGACTCAATTGGTCACAAACAAATCTCTCCCACATCCCCTAACATCTCTCTTATATCCACGAATAAGTACTCACATTCCTTTATCACCTCGTCCCGCTAGTGCAAACAATTCGAGTTCACAAAACGTTATTCCTGGTCTCCTGAAACCTCGTTCTAAATTACATGGAGCTTTTAATGTCCGGACATTGTGTCAAGTAGGGCAACAGGCTTCCTTAGCTAGGACTTTAGAATCTCGCGCCATCGATGTATGCTGTGTCTCAGAAACGCGCACACAGGATCCTAGTAAAATCATTAATTTGATTTTACCGTGTCAAAATAAAGAAGCAGCTCGATTTGCTCTCCGTGTATCTGGGCGCCCTGATGCTGTTTCTGAGGGTCTTGCTGGTGTAGGTATAGCATTGAGCCCTAGGGCAGAACAATCTCTCCTAGACTGGATCCCAGTAGATAGTCACTTGTGCGCCACCCGACTAAATGGGACAGTAAGAACGCGGAAAAGTAGGGAAACTCGTCGTCGCCTCTTCGTCGTATCTGATTACTCTCCCACTGACTGCAGTTCAGACGAGGTGAAAGATGAGTTTCACGGAAAGCTTTCGGACCTCCTCCAAAAAGTTAAGCACTCTGATATAGTAATAATGGCTGGTGACTTAATAAGCAAGTAGGCAGACTAAGTGAAAAGGAAAGACATCTGGTGTCGCGGCTCAGGGAAAAGATAATGGCGACTGTCTGTTGAAACTGTGCTCAGATAACCACCTATTTCTAGCAAACACTTACTTTAAGCATAAAAAAACACCTTGACATGGTGACCCCCAAAGCCGACCCAACTGTATCACATCGCTATCAGCCATCGGTGGAGAGGCTTTATTGGAGACTTTTGATCATTCTGGAGCAGTCGTTTAGACTCAGACCATGCTCTAGTGCAGGGAAACCTCTTAGGGCTCTACTAAATGAAAATAAAGCTAAGAACATATTTTAGGAGCAACTAGAAAAACAGTTAGGCGACCATGTAATTGAACTTCATCCGGAGTCAGCTTGGAATGATATAGAAGAAGCTGTGGAAATAGCAGTGATATCTGCTAGTAAGGTAAACCATAATGCTAGGAAGAAGCCGTGGATCTCAATAGCGTAATAACAATAATCAAGTAGGCAGACTAAGTGAAAAGGAAAGATGTTTGGCCGGATCTTATGATATCGCGGCACAAAGGACAGGTAATGGAGACTGTCTGTTGCAAGTGCGCTCAGATAACCACCTATTTCTAGCAAACACTAACTTTAAGCAGGCTGAGATCAGTTCAACTGGCCTTCAGCCACAATTTGATTACACACGATCTCCAAACATCCTTAATGGCAAGTCGATGTAAGTCCTCCGAGTCTATAAAGTTGAGAAAGCTATAAAAAATCTGAAGCGAGGTAAAGCATTACATGTGTCCACTAGTGACTAGCTTGGTGAGGAATCTTCTCCGAGTTCTAGTGCGAAGTCGTGACCAGTGAAGTTCAAACATGTTTGGATGTATACAGGATGTGAGGTTGCGAAACTCCGTGAATTTGATCAAGTTAGACATTAGCGAAAGCAAGAGAGGTGGAAATGGTAGCGGTGATAGGCTAAAGCAGATGGTTGTTTCGATCTGTTATGGAAACAGGTATTAGAAATCCATCTGTCAGCGAAACTATCTCAGAAAACGATGGTTGTTTCATTCATTCTCAATTCAGGAGATTTGATCGATGGGCAGAACACTTTAGGGACACTCGAAAACTTATTCCACCTGGCTCTGAACATAAATCACTGCGAAGACAACCTCGGCGCAGGCTGGTGTGTGGCGAAAGCCATAGAGATGGAAGAGGGAGCGCAGTATGCAACAGTAGACAACTTTTCCGCCTTATCAAGGAAACCGGTATTAGAAATCCATCTGTTGACGAAACTATCGTAGCTAGAATCTTGGAACTGGTAGTGATCCCATCCGACTGGTCTCAGTCACTGATAGTCCCTGTCTATAAGAAAGGACGAGTGACCTTTTGTGACAATAACACAGGAATCAGTTTAACTAATATAGTGTCCAAAATATTAGTTTCAAAGATGCTTCGACGCCTGACTAGAGCTCGTGAAGGGAAGACACGAGAAAATAAGTGTAGTTTCAGACCTGGATGTGGATGTGTAGACCAAGTATTCACACTTTGTCAGGTACTAGGACAATGACACACGTTCAGGCGTCTCACAGTAGTTGTATTTCACAACGAAAACTCTCGTAATCTATTGCGTACATGATAAACTTCTACAGTGATCTAAATTATTCAACAGCAGTTGGTTTCGCAACCAGCGGACATATAAAACTCGGAATAACAAAGATAGAAATATATTTCAGAATATATGATTACAAATGCATGTAATTTCAAGTTTCAGGAGGGATCGTTGAGAGTGCATACAAGTCCATGTTGTTCTTTTTCACACTGAAACAGAAATGAGACTAATCATCTACTGAAGCTTTACTAAAATAAAAATTATGAACTTAACGGTTTAAGCCCTCAACATTTAAATATTAGAGTCACGTTTTGAATAGCATTTCACCGATTTCAATTATGCTACTGGGTATTATCTTAGATTTTGTTCAACCAATGATGATATCCTAACGTGTTATAAGTGTAAGTTGGATAAGTCATGCAAATAATATCCCAATGTTTGTTTTACACAAACATGAAATGAGTCTGTTGGTTAGTCACCACTTCCTGGGTGCTTGTTCAGTATATATACCACTTACTAAATTCGAAAGTCTTTAGACATCACTTATAATTATAACCGGTGACAGAAATATTCATTTGCGTGAATATTCGCAAACAACAATCACGTTTCAGATTGCAGTTTACATTAATTATTTTACCATCTCAGACCAACCTTTTATTTGTAGTAATAAAATAAATGTAATATTTGGTGATATATTTGTATTCTTATCCTTTCATAACGTAGCTTTGTCATTCCATATACTGTACATAGCTGTGCTCCGGGTAGTGCTAAGTTTGCATACAATCAATATAATATATGGTTTCTCATTTTTCAGAATAGTTCAGCTTCTCTGATTATAGGTACGGATGATTTAAGTGAGTGATCTATAGTGTTTAGTAATAATAAGAGTAATAGTGTATTCTTCAATCATGTGCAGATTTGTAAAATCACCGTTAAGCCGCATATTAAGTGCACATTCGACGATACCGCTCAGATATTTAGACGAAAGTGGGTGAAGCGAAGTTCAAACCTGTAATCTACTGCTTGAAAGCTGAATAATTTAACCACCGAAATGCCGCTGCATCGTAGATTAGTGACCAGCAGTATCCGATCAATACAAACATCAAAAACATTATACTGGCAACCTTCCGGTGATTAACTAGGGTACACAAACATACATCTCACTTCATCAACATGAAATCTTCGGAAAAATTGGAATGTGTCTCAAAAGTTTGTAAACGAGCGAATTTTGTGTGACCGATTGAGCGCTTGAAGGACCACCGTCGATCCCAAGCCCATAAAAAGCAGGGTTTGGCGTACAGTTAACAAGCCCATCCCATATGTAAGAATCACCAACTAGAGATTATTCAAACTCTGATGTTAGAAGCAAACGGTCTTCATAGAGAAATGTTTTGACACTGCCTAATGAGGAAAATATGAGGGCTTAAGAACCATGTTGATATAGGAGTATAAGAATGTGGATGATTCTATTGTTTCTAAGCTCCATAAAGTTGAATACGTATTCATATTACAAACTTGACATGTTATGACCACAAATACCAATTGACCAGACTTACGAGCATTCTTCTCTTATCAGATTTACTATATCCAGAATAGGCTGATTGGATGATTTTTCGCCTAGAGCATTATGGATATTCTCTAGGATGGATAAAAATAACGTTGTTTGTTCTGTAGAACTGAGAAAGCAAAACAAAAGATTGCAAAAATACGACCACATTAAAAAAGAAACGATGAGTATGAGATACAATGCATGAAACAAAAAAATGAGGACAATTTGTATACTTATTGTCTTGAACTTGACAGTCGAATACTAGACTTAGCAGAGTGTTTCAATCATCAATGGCTTCCGCTCCTGTCCACTAGACAGCAATGTTATAAATGTTAATTACAATAAGTAAACCATAAGGTAACATGCAGATTTATTTTAAACTGTAAATGGTATTTTCTTTGCAAACTGACTTCAGTCAACAGTATATGCAATATTGATTTCAAGTTGATCATATGTCATTTGTCCTGATATCACAAAATGATAAAAGTAACTCAAGAGTGAATTAAAACTATTTCATCATTCTAAATCATAAGGTGACAATAACACTTATTGACAAACGGGTAAATACCATTTAATTATGAGGGTAAAACATGAATTTAATAAGATAATAAATCATAAGAATCATATATATATATATATATATATATATATAACTCCGCCAGTAGAACCTTCGGGGCTACTGCCGGTCCCAAGCCCGGGTAAAGGAGGAGGGTTGGACATGGGGTTGGCGACCCCATTCCGTCGAAATCTAACTTGCCAAAAAAACGCTAACCAGACCAAATAATTCAAACCATTTTAACTCTGCCCTGGGAGTTGGATGAAGAATTATGACGTCGCGTGATGAAAGCCGAGTTCCCTCGGAAGTCACGGGGCCGATGCCTCTTCTGACAACCAGAGCAACCACTCTTTTAAGTACATGGAATGTTCGTACATTGTGGGAGACTGGAAGAACATTTCAAGTTGCGGCAGAAATGAAAAGATACAACCTAGAGGTGCTCGGCATCAGTGAAACGCATTGGACACAGGTAGGACAGCTGAGAGTAGCTTCAGGGGAACTGCTGTTATACTCTGGTCATGAAGAGGAAAGTGCTTCAAATACACGAGGAGTTGCACTGATGCTGTCCAAACAAGCACAAAAGGCACTGATAGGATGGGAATCTCGTGGACCCAGGATCATTAAGGCATCCTTTAAAACAGAGAAAGAGGACATTACAATGAACGTCATCCAATGCTATGCACTTACGAACGACTACAATGACGACGATAAAGATCAATTCTACAAAAGGCTGCAGTCAATCGTCGAGAAACGTTCACCAAAGGATTTGACCATTTTGATGGAAGACCTAAATGCCAAGGTTGGAATGGACAACACTGGATATGAAGACATCATGGGACGACATGGACTGGGAGAAAGAAACGAAAACGGTGAGAGATTTGCAAACCTATGTGCCTTCAACAAACTGGTCATCGGTGGCACAATATTCCCGCACAAATGCATTCACAAAGCCACATGGATTTCACCGGATCACACTACTCAAAACCAGATTGATCATATCTGTATCAACAAAACGTTCAGAAGGACTATGGAGGATGTGAGAACCAGGAGAGGAGCTGATGTAGCCTCAGATCACCATTTGCTAATCGCCAAAATGAAACTGAAACTAAAGAAGCACTGGACAGCGGGGCAGACATCACACAAATATAATACAGCCTTTCTTCGGGATACCATAAAACTCAACGAATTCAAGATAGCCCTCACCAATAGGTTCCAGGCCTTGCACGATATACTCAATGGAGAGGAAGCAACATTGGAGAACGATTGGAAAAAGATCAAGGAGGCAATCACTTCAACATGTCACGAAGTTCTGGGTCACAAGAAGTACCATCACAAGGATTGGATCTCTGTTGATACTCTTGCAAAAATTGAAGAAAGGAGGAACAAGAAGGCAGCAATCAATGTCAGCCGAACAAGAGCGGAGAAAGTTACCGCACAAGCTGCATACACAGAAGCAAACAGGGAAGTGAAGAAGAACATCAAAGCTGACAAACGAAAATATGTGGAAGATCTAGCAATGACGGCGGTAAAGGCTGCAAGAGACGGAAACTTGAGACAATTGTACGAAACAACAAAGAAGCTCGCCGGAAACTATCGTAAACCAGAACGACCAGTGAAAAGTAAGGAAGGCAAAGTAATCAGCAACACTGAAGAACAGCGAAACAGGTGGGCGGAGCACTCTAAGGAACTCCTGAATCGACCAGCTCCACTATACCCGCTCAAAATCGAAGCAGCATTCACGGACCTTCCAATCAATCAACAATTTAAGAGATCAGCTTGGCCATCAGACAAATCAAGAACGGCAAAGCAGCAGGACCAGACAACATTCCAGCAGAGGCAATGAAAGCAGATGTGGAAGCAACTGCGAAAATATTTCATATTCTCTTCAAGAAGATTTGGGATGACAAACAAGTAACATCAGATTGGAAAGAAGGATACCTGATCAAAATACCAAAGAAAGGCGATCTCAGCAAGTGTGAGAACTACACAGGCATCACTCTTCTCTCAATACCAGGCAAAGCATTCAATAGGGTATTGTTAAACAGAATGAAGGACTTCGTAGACGCCCAACTTCGAGATCAACAGGCCGGATTTCGTAAGGATCGATCGTGTACTGACCAAATTGCTACATTACGGATCATTGTGGAACAATCAATAGAATGGAACTCACCACTCTACATCAACTTCATCGACTACGAGAAAGCATTCGATAGCGTGGATAGGAAAACACTGTGGAGGCTTCTTCGACACTGCGATGTGCCTGAGAAAATAGTTAACATCATACGGAATTCTTATGATGGATTCGACTGCAAAATCGTACACGAAGGACAGCTAACAGACTCTTTCGAGGTGAAGACCGGTGTCAGGCAAGGTTGCTTACTCTCATCCTTTCGCTTTCTCCTGGTGATCGACTGGATTATGAAAACGTCAACATCTGGAGGGAAGCACGGTATCAACTGGACAGTTAGGACGCAGCTGGACGATCTGGACTTCGCAGATGACCTGGCTCTTCTATCGCACACGCAACAACAAATGCAAGAGAAGACGACCAGTGTAGTAGCAGCCTCTGCAGCAGTAGGTCTCAACATACATAAAGGAAAAAGCGAAATTCTCCGATGCAACACAACATGCACCAACCAAATCACTCTTGATGGAGATGCCTTGGAGGACGTTAACACCTTTACATATCTTGGCAGCATCATCGACAATCAAGGTGGATCGGATGCAGATGTGAGGGCGCGGATTGGCAAAGCAAGGGCTGCATTTTTACAGTTAAAAAATATCTGGAACTCCAAACAACTTTCAACTAAAACCAAAATAAGGATTTTCAATACAAATGTGAAGACAGTTCTACTGTATGTAGCGGAAACATGGAGAACTACCAAAGCCATCATCCAGAGGATACAAGTGTTTATTAACAGTTGTCTACACGATCAGCAACAACGAACTGTGGGAGAGAACAAACCAGATTCCAGTGGATGAGGAAATCAGGAAGAAGCGGTGGAAGTGGATAGGACACACACTACGAAAAGCACCTAACTGCGTCACGAGACAAACCCTCACAGATTGTAGATGCAGACTAGTCAAACATCTTTCGCTTGGAGGTGCTTAGAATTCATATTAAGTTGTAAAACTTATGTTTCATGGCTGGACTATCAGAGACAATTGTGAAGGAAATCTAGCTTCCGCTATGCATATACTGATAGTGTGATTTTGTGGCTCGATTTTATCAAAACGTAAATCGCCTTTGCCCGCACTGTAGAAAATCGACATACCGGATTCTGAGTATAACAACAACACACCTCTTTATGGTATGATATCAGTTACAAAATTAAAAGACAGAGATGTTGGAGTCTGTCCATTTCGTTTAGTTTCCTTGCTAGTTAACAAAAGAGATAGAGGTACATATATGTAGCCCTATTTTCTGACAAATTTCCATATGCTAGTGAACATACATTCCGAGTAGTTACTCTTATCTAGCAGACAACTTTAAACTACAGTTTTATATCACGAAGTAAAGATAGTTGAAAAGTCAAGAAGAATCGTCATTTATGATGAGTATGCAGCTAAACAAATCTATTGGACAGCTGAATAGGATCAAAAATAATTCTTGTGACTTATTTTTTATCTATCTCGTAAAATATTTTAATATGAAAACCTACATTTCATATATGGATGCTAGCAGTACTGTACATTGATATTTATCACATACAGTACAACAGTTCTGATCAGAGTTACCTACGGCAGTCACCTAATTCTAGAGTGAAAACACATCGTTCGTTATAAATTTTTCAAACGGCCAAATCTTTTACCTGACTAGAAATAAACGGAATCCACATTATTACCGATTTTGACTCTTGATATAAGTACTTTGGAAAAATAACCCTAACCTATTGAATAATTATCTATAACATCAGAGATAAGGTATTAGGCACGCGAAAGTAAATGATAATAATAATAATAAAGAAAAATAATCCCACGAAGAAACGCATCAGTTACAGTTAAACAAAACATATCTTGAAGTTAAGATCAGCTCAGACAATCTAGTTTTTCTGTTAAGAAATGAACCATTCTAGTTGGCAAAGACAATCACGATATCCTTCTAGTAGCTCATATTTCCTCAATAACCATTGCTATCAAACAGTTTAATTGTTATCACCTTCAGTTTGCTGATTTTGTTGTCTGAAGATCATTACCTGCCACCATTCCAACTTTTACTTGGCTGAATACCAACATTTTCTGCACTGTGATTTCTTCACGGCTTTTATAATGTGTAAAAATTATTATTGATGCGTTGTGTCTGTCAATAGTTAGTTTAATTGAGTTCCGATTAGTTTCCAATCATTATTGTAATACTTTTTTGAAACAAAATCGTAAAAAACATATTCACAGAAAATAACACAAATACGGTTTTTAAAAAGTTAACCCAGAAGAATTACTTAGTTGAAGTGGCAGCATAACGCGCGAGCCAAAGTAATATTGCATGAAATCTTATCAGTGAGTGTACAATTCGATTGTGTTTTGTAGCGTTTGCAAGTAACCGTAATACTGATAACTATAGACAATTATAAGATGAAAAAGTCAATATGGTTAACATATATATATAATGAATATAATGAACGGAAAGCTTGACTTTCTACAATGTACATAATTAATTTTAACAATACTATCAAACATTTCAAAATTGATATAACATGTGTGAGGAATAGATATAATCACAACTTTTTAGACTATAAAACCAATGGATAAGTCCCGGTATGTTTACAAAGTTTATTATTTACACAACAACAATTGCTTCTTTTCAATCGAATTGTTTCGATGATACTGATTTAACTAGAGGCAAGCCTACAATCTGATATCACTCGGTAGCATAGAATTCATATGAACACTTATATACTACCACTTATAAACTACTTATAGACTACGCTTAGTTATTAATAAATAAAATATGAATTTATCAAATAAATAAACATTTAGTAAGCTTCTCACATGAAATAATAAAACCATAATGAAAAGAATAATATGATTCTAACTGGAGTTTCGTATTCCCTAATTCATGAAATCTGTAACATGCTGACCACACAGCTCCTAATATAATTTTTTACATAGCCAGATTTTCAGGTTGCATTTATAATAAATGTATCCGATTCAAGGTACCATTGAACGGCTTCAAACGACTAGATTTGGTGTTTAAAAGAATAGACAGATGATAAATCAAAGAAGCAATTTTCCTATTCAAAAACTCTACTGAAAAACCAGCACCAAAATTTATTAACCTACCTTGAAACTCATGTCAGCTGAGGGCAATGAATAAGCACATAAAATGTGTTTAAATACTAAAGAATTTTCCATCACCAAATAGTCTGCTGGATCACTTAAACTATCAACACACAATCGACAAATCCATTGACGTTCAACAGTGAACTATGAGTTGAAAAAAGTAGGGAAAATCTCAAAATAATCATCAAATAGGCATTTTGCTTTTACACAGGAATAAAACCATTTTCCTAAATTTCACGAAATACTGAATCAATAATAAAAATTTCCTTGGAAAAAGTTAGAAAAATAAAAGAAACGGAATAAGAGTAGTTTGAGTACAAGTTATTGGATATTTTACAACTTTCAGGCTAAAAAAGATTAACAATTTATAATGTACACAACCTTTTTGATTTAACTGACACATTTAAACGGTTTAAATCGGGGACTGATCTTATCTACATTACTGAAACCCTGGAAGCATTGAATGACCCTTTCAAACCACTGTGGATTTACTCCTCAGCAGTGAGTATTCAGGAATTGAGCTTAAAACCTGTAGTCTCATGTGCAAACATGTAACCTTTACATCACTGAGCCGAGACCCAGTAATGTGCAAGTACAACCCTAATCCGTTTTTTATTAACAATCTGTCATCCTCTAAACCTGAAAAATAATCTAGAAAAGTGCATTACTTACTTTATTATTGGTTGAAAAGAATAATCTTAGAAATTCCGGTACATATCTCAGATCAATTGCCGGTTTTGCCAGCAAACAACTCCAAATAGGCTGAAACATATGATTTTCTATAAAAAGGCAAAAGTATGGTAGTAAAAAAATCTGTCTTACACAATATCTTTAATAATTACTGATAGAAACAAAAAGGTATTGATAGAAAAAACTGATTATGTCATTTTACTCGACCACTAATAACCATCTGAGACTGCATTGCATGTGTCAATGAAAATTTATAAAACGTCCTCATACACAGTGAATGTTTAATACAGTCAATTTTTGTTGGGAAATGTTAAATCCTTTTTTTCTCACTATTTATGATTGCGGTTTATTATGAAAAAAAAAATTAATTTGCATTAGTGATCCCCTCCAGAGTATGCATTCAACGGTCATCGTAGTACTAATCGAAAACTTGAATGCACATGTCAGTGAGAAATTATTGGTCGCACGTTTCTAGCTAGCATCTATTATCGGCACAGCCATTGCCAAAGTTCTACCTAGCGGTCTTTAGCTGAATCTCAAACTTGAACTCAGATTGTTCACATCGTGATCAGTTACAAGTGACGTCAGACAGTCAGTCAGTTGCAACGTAGAACTTCGTACGTAAGTACATCAGTTCATGTTGCCATACCACATCAGCACAGAGATGTAATTGTCAATTCAAATCCAATAGTAGAAGAGGTAGTTAAGGTATTAGAAGTAATCCGAGAGGTTAGGATTAGAAAATATTATTCAACAAGTATGATTCAGTGAGAAAAGTTTAGAAAGTCAAAACTAAAGGTATTGAAGAATCCAGAAAATTAGGGTTTGAGAGAACACAAAGAATAAATTCACCGGCGCCATTGCAAACCATTTCGAGCCATGTCATTCAAGGTCTCTAACCATCGATTATTATCATCTCGCGGACCCCAACCAGCTAGTCTACAATTACCGACATGGATAAGTCCACTCGTCAATGACTTCATGGATTTCTGCCAAGTTTTGGTCTGTCCGCCCCTAACTTTCTTCCAACCTACTACTACACTACAAAACAAAGTTCGTCGAGGCAGTCGGTGGTTAGGCATACGCAACACATGTCCCAACCACCTCAACTGATGAAGTTTCAGCACTTCATCTATTGATCTGCCATTCTTACCTAGCACCCAAATCCTAATAACAGCGTTGCTAACTCGGGTGTCCCACGATATACGAGCAATGCATCGAAGACACCTATGATCGAAAAACAGTAACCTACGAATATCTTCTACTCTCACTGGCCATGTTTCACAGCCATAAAGTAAGACGGAGCGAACTGCTGCACAGTACACTCGTCCTTCAGTCAGCAAACGGATATCTCGCCTACGCCATAAGTGACGCAGGTTGGCAAAAGCCAATCGAGCCTTCTGTATCCGAGCTGAGATTTCGTCAGTCACCAGGCCATCGGCACTGATGAGACTCCCAAGATAAGTGAAGCGGTCTACACGTTCGACTACTTCACTCCCTATCACTAGTTTAGGTCCCGATGCAACCCAGTCTTGAAGCAACATTTTGCATTTTGAGTGGGAAACCGCATCTTGAACATGCTTGCATTGTTGCTTAGGGTGGTCAGAAGACTGCATTTTGTCAGCGTCTTCACCAAGTAGGACAATGTCATCAGCATATTCTAAGTCAATAAGCGAGCCACCTGGTAACAGGTCTACTCCTGAAAATTCAGACGAGGATAAGGTTATTTCTAGGAGCATGTCTATGACAAAATTAAACAAGAATGGAGAGAGTGGACATCCCTGACGGACACCACTTGAAGTAGAGAATTCAGATGACAGTTCGCCATAAGCTCTCACTCGACCAGTGATGTTCGAGTAGAGGGCTTGTATAAGGTTAATGTACTTCTTTGGTACACCTTTCAATGACAGACACTGCTACAGATCCTCACGATCTACCGAGTCAAATGCCGCTTTTAGCTCCAGGAAAACAACTATTGTAGGACGCCTAAATGTGTGTCTATGTTCCAGGACCTGTCGTAGTGTGAAAATGTGGTTTATACAGCCACGTCCAGGTCGAAAACCAGACTGGTTTTCTCGAGTTTGCTCTTCACGAGCTTTCGTTAAGCGTCGAAGTATTACTGAGGCTAATATTTTAGAAACTATATCAGTTAGAATTATTCCCCTGTGATTGTCACAAGAGGACTTTTATCCTTATAGATTGGGACAATCAGTGATTGAGACCAGTCGGATGGGATTTCGTCCAGTTCCCAGATTCTACCTAAGATCTCAGTCAACCAGGCTGATAAAACTGGACCACCATCCTTAAATATCTCAGTGGCCAGTCTATCAGGACCTGCAGCTCGCCCTCGCTTCAGATTTCCTAACGCTTTTTCAACTTCATTAAGACTAGGCGGACTTACGTCGATTTGCCATTCAGGATGACTGGAGATCGTGGGTAACCGAAGAGTGGCTCGAGGCCAGTTGAACTGATCCCTAAAGTGTTCTGCCCATCTATCCAGTCTCCTGGATTGATAATAAATAAGTCCCATCATTTTCCGAGATCGTCTCACTTACACTAGGATTCCTAATACCAGTTTCCTTGATAAGTCGGAAAAGTTGTCTAGTGTTGCCTATCGGCGCTGCCTTTTCCATCGCTTTTGCTTTCACCACCCACCACTGTTCGCGATCGTTACGTAGGCTTTTTATAAGTCTGCGCCTAAGCTGACTTCGTTCTTCATCATGTTCAGAGCCAGGTGGGATGAGTTTTCGCGCATCCATCAGATCGGTGGATGCTACTGAGATCCACGGTTTCATTCTAGCCTTATGGTCAACCTTACTAGCAGATATCACTGCTGTTTCCACAGCCTTTTTGATATCATTCCATCCTGCTTCCGGATGGGAATCGCTTAAATGGTCACCTAACTGTCTTTCTAGTTGTTCCTGAAATATATTTTTCGCCTTATTATCATTAAGTAAAACCCTAAGAGGCTTTCTTACGGTGTCTTAGAGACCTGGGAGCGTGACCGCAGAGTCCAAGGGACAACTGTTTGAGGCCGATCACGCACGGCCTTTTTATGAAAGGTTTTTTGAGGATTAGCTCCGTTCTTAAAGGCCCTTAGTGGGCACCCTTACCCAAGGAGACGGAAATTCGTGAGGTAGGGTGAGGTGTGACATTTTCAGGGTCGACCTTTTCTAACCCTTCCTTCCTTGTGAGAAGGCAGCATCGCTGCAGATGCTGGTTGTCTGAGGGAAACACCTTACTGCTGTCACACCCCTCTGCAGTCAGCAGTACGACTTCGCCCTCAGACCTTGGGTAGCTGCTTTTAGTCTCATCGTTCTCCAGTCGACCAGCCTGGCATGGTAGGACCTGCAGGAACATATGTTACAGCCAGTATGGCTCGGTTGGGTCATCACGATAGGCAAGCCCGACCATCACGTCGAGGTAGCAGCTACGGCCGGGTTCAAGTGACGTGGTTGTGTACAAAACTGCCGCTCAGTTTAAAGTAATTATCAGGACTCCAATTATTCCCTTCCTAGTGCTTATCTTTTCTTATGTTTCAACAACCAAGAAATTTGTCTTCCTAAACAAATAGATGTAAGCAACTGGCTTCAGATTTTGCTGCAACTGAAGATCAAACCGTTCTAGATTCAAGGCTAGCTATCGAACCATCGAAAAGTAAAGATGAGCACTCTTGCAACTTTGCGAAACGTGCCGCTTACAAGCAGCGGGTACCTACAGACTCCCTACATCTTGCAGTCATCCAGGTTTTTCAGAGGTAACCGCAAGCTTAACAATAAAATGAGGCTGTCACGAAATCAAATAGTGCGATGATCGTGTGAAGATCGAGGAACCAGGAAGCTGGAGCATGCTAACAAGCTGGGAGCAGAAGATGCATCTGGAAACTGCCGGAGGCTCTTTTAACTCATCCAAGACTCTACCTGCAAGAAGTGTAGTTTACGTGGAACAATCCGTGAAGCTAGTAAATAATAAATATACTTCTCGAATCATATATTCGAACACTAATCTCTCCGATTACTGCTAATACTACTGTGCAGTGAGGTAAGCACAGTTGCCAAATCTCGCCATTCCTCTTCGATTTTACTATCGATGAAGTTCTGGAAACAGCCATGATGGATGTAAGTTATGTTGGTGTGAACCTGTAACCTGGAGAAAAACTTTTTAACCTTAAGCAAGCGGATGATATTGTCTTACTGTGTGAAGATTCTTAAGCTATATAATTCGCGCTTAATCAGTGTACATAGGTACAACATATGGTTTGCATGTTCTAATTACAAAGTACTTTCACAAAACTAGCAGAACATTGAACCTGAACTAACTCCTGATAGTGAATAGACAGACGCAGTCGAAAGGTTCATGTAACTGAGGTAGCTTTGTAAGTGCTGGTGGTGGCATGAATGATGAGATCGATCCACGTATAGTGAAGGATGGAGCGGCTTATCCTAGTCCGGGTCGTCTTTGATGCTTGTGTGATGCTAATCTGGTTGTAAAAGGTCTGCAATGCATTGGTGAGGTGAGTTTTGTTCTATGCTTGTGAAACCTGGTCTCTCCAAGTTGAAGCTATTAGAAAACTTTCTGTGTTCGGTCACGGCTGTCTTCAAAGGATTGCTGACATTCATTGATAACACCATGTTAATAATGCTGAGGTTCGGCAGAGCGTGTCTCGGTGCAACAATCAAAAATTCAATTGATGTTACTATCTTGAAGCACCGACTACAATGTCTCAAACAAATACTATGAATGTCTTTTCAGCGAACTTCACATCGTGCATTATTTGCTAACGCTGCTACTGGCTAGAAGAATCAGAGAGTTAGTTAGTATATGACAAGGTGACGCCGTATGAAAGAAAGTCGTACAGAACTGGCATCTGTTGGAACTTCATGACAACCTGGTCGGAGTCATAGAGATTGTGCAACTCAGTGGCTTGAGACATTATCAGAATAAGTCGGTGGTGGTCAGATGAACATGTTGATTTCATAAACAGAAATCTTTAATGTGATCAAAGAAAGTTTGAAAAGAGAGTTTAACGTAGTACATATTTGATTTGTTTACTGTAAATAGTAGTAATATACATAATCTTACAAAATTCATCCATGTTATGTTCATATAGTACAAGAAAAATTTCTGTTTATGGCACACATTTGAGCATCACTAAATAATTCAAGAATATTAACCAATGTAGTGATGCTATGCTTGCGCTAATTATGATAGGACTTGACACAATAAAAGGACAGCTAAGTTATTCAATGTTGCCCAGCCCAGATAACTAGAGCAAAATCTTTGATGTCAAAAGGAAGATTTTACATTCCACAAGCAGATCCGAGAGAACGAATTAACAGACATTCATTTCAAGTGCAATTTATAAAGTACAAACAGAGTCATTGGAAATAGCACACTAAAAGAGAAAACTAACCTATGAGCTTTAAAATCCTTCGAAGTGGGAAACACAAACTGATGATAAGGGGGCGTTTATTGCGCCAAAATAATAAATTAGAATTTCCAAAAATAATTTACAAAACTAGGAGGTTAACCGAGAGAGTTCTGAGAATCTAGCTACCCAACATGTGACTCAATAATGTTAAGATCCAAAATTGCAGCGCTGACTAGTGATAGTTAAAATCTCAACGTAAGAGTAAGCTTTCCGAGGCTATAAACATGCATAGTTGTCTGGTGTGTTAATAACAAGAGATTAATCTTTCAGTTGTTCTAGAAATATCTAACAAGAAAGCATAACACTCTGCAAAATTGTGGCAAGCACTCACACAAGTAAAAATTAGCCTACCTGGTCGACTGAGTATTTTTAAAACTCTGATAAAGAAATTTGCATGAAGTTTTGTTAAACGTCCACCTGAATCCATCGATATATGGAATGACTTAGCTTTACGACTTCCACCACCGAAAACAGACCCACCACCATGTGATAAACTATTACGCAATATATCAAGAACAAAGGCAATCTAAAAATAATAAGAATAAAAAGGACCAGCAAGAGTTATTGTGAAATTATCAGCAAGAAAAGTTAATCAATGAAAGTTGTGAATATAAATTTCGATAACTATCGGACAAAATTAAGTTTCTGGTGTGCTTTTTGGGAAGATACATAATTTTAGATAATAACTCGTTTGACAAGTATAGGATTCGTGTAATTGGCTTTGAGTCGCACTTTGTGTGAGGACCAGTGATACCACACGGTTATCTGAACCAGAGTAGTTGGAGAGGGGTTCAAACCTACGATTTAGCTAGCTTCTGAAGGTCAAAGTCCTTAACTGCTGAGACACTGATCCACTAATAGGTGTACGCTGAGCAAAGATTCCATTATTTTTAGTTTTTGCTATTGATCTCAATGTAAAAGATAGGATTTAATAGAACTGTTTTGAAAATCTAAATCTCAAATATTTAAATTGGAAACAGCAATACTCTTGGATAGAATAAACGACTTTGAACAGTGGCATAAGCAATAACTAAGATAATAACATGGATTTTATTTGCACGATCAAGAAATGCAACTGCTTGGTATGCAAAATTGAATAATGGAAATTTTTTGGCATACTTGTTGGCCTTCAGGAAAATGTTTAGAGGATAAATTAGGCTTTTTTTCTGAGCGATCATGATTATTAGAGGTTGTTGAATCCCCGGAGATATATAAACCCAATAATTTCCGATAAATACCGATAATTGTTCTAGCCATATTTCGCATATGTTTTGAGTAACTTGATAATCCAGCCACAGCATAACATAAACAATTTTTTAAGTAGAAAGTTTTCAAAAACTGAACAGGTTTAACAACATCGGCATTGTTTTGTTCACATTCTCCTGAAACTTAATTGACATAAAACAATACCTAGTTATATTGATAATCTAAAAGTTCACATATATTTATGACGGAAAACAGAAAGTGACACAAATAAGTCTAGTGATATAAAAACAATTCAGTGAAATACGATAATAATAGGTAGTTAAATAGATAAACTAGTCGGATTTGTGAACGCGTAACGATTGAAACAGTTGAAAGACTTGTTGCGTAATTATTTTGACTAGGTGTAGTGGTTAACATACTGAAAACGAATGAATTTAAATCCAACTAAACCGACAAATAGTTGGTCGTATATGTAAATTAAGATTATGTTTTCTTGATTGGGTTAGTAATACTATACCACTATTTCAACAAAGAGTAACAAATTTTCAGTAAATATCAGTGCTTTAACCACCAATATATCACTGGTTTATTTTTTCGCTTAGTTATATGTTTATTATAATATTCAACTTTTTTATTGAAATGGCATAAAACAATAACAAATCAAATTGAAACATTATTTTACATTGTATTGTTGTAATAAGTGAAATGAATTTGTCAATACCAATCTAATAATAACAAATTGTGAAGAAGAAAAAACACCACCGGATGCACAGAAGTGCTACATTCATCAAATATAAACTCTTAAGATATTCAACTGTTTAATTCACAACTATCCACCAGACAAAAGTTCTTTAGATTTTGGGTGCAGTTACCATTTTCTGAGCTGAGTGGTCTGACCGATTAAACACATTCAGATCAATGAACTCAACTCCACTCAAGTCGTCCTTTTGAGATACAAGTCTTCATCACCTCCCCCTTTGTTGTGCGAGCTACTTATAGGTAGTATATGACGTGAGTGTCAACGTAATGTCTGGCAGCAGAAGATAGGCGAAGATCAAGAAAGGAAGAGTGGGAACACAATGGAATCTGTATGAAACGCATGAATAGTGACAATGGATTGATGTTTTGCAACAGGAACAGTCCAGTTCAATATGATGGACTGATATTTTGCAAATTAACGATTTACGATATGGTTTTCCGATTTTACTGAGTAACTCTGTAATTTTCGTTAAATACAATCCGGTTGCCCTCACCGGTGTTCTCCTTCACTACACCTTCATAGAAGATTGATATAAAGATATGGTTTGAACGCGTCTACCATCTGTTTAGTGTACTTCCTCTAACAATCGACGTCAGAACTGACAGCAGTGCAAGATGTAAAACACTAATTAACCATCGGCTAATTCGAGGAAGTATTGGTTTCAATGATTGCGGTAGTTCATATGTGAAGTATACACTGTGGTTTTGGAATGGATTCAAACCGGCAACTTACTAGTTTGGAAGCCAAATATTACTATTCTACAAACTCAACGAAGTGTCTAAATTCCCAATTGAATTCTAAATAAAGTTTCATCAGTAATAGAAAGATCATTCGTAATAAAAAAATTGCACTAAGGAAAACTTTTTTCATAAAATCCCCACCCGATAATAAATAGTTGAGCAAGTAGAGTATTTTTATTAAAAATAACCTTCACTTGAAGTTAGTGTTAAAAAATAAGTTGTCACATATTTAAAACTTACAACAGTGAAGGTAGTAATACAACACATGCAGAATGAAGCACGGATCATGTGTACGATCAATTTTTACAATCTTTGAATCAATGACGTACGAATCTGGAGCATTCTAGATGGTCAAATAAAAGTAGAATGAACAACTAATTTTAAAGATACTATGAGCACAGCACAAGTTGTATAATAAATTCTGATCAATAATCTTACCACTCCATTGGTTAGAAATTATTATATTCTTTCATTTAATTTTTTAATGCATAACCTGTTCCACCTTATAGAAATTAATAAAAGGATTCAACTCGATACACATGGGTTGTGGGAATATTCAACATTTCCCATAATAACATCAGAAACGTGATCTGGATTTTATCTATTTGGGACAGGCCTGTCGAAATGATCGGGGATTTCGGCGAAAACAAACCTATTGTGATGACAAATAACATCTAGTATGACAACAAAAAAACGCATCAGATTCTAACTTATTAGGAAATTGCTTCTCACTTTTTGAATTTCACTTAAATGAATGAATCATTAGAGCGAATCACATCTGGTAAATTAACACAAGAATTTTGAATAAGATTTGATTCATTCGAATTAGTTTTCTCATAACAATTGCAGACGTCACTAGACATAGTTAGATCAGTAGAATGGTTGGAATACAATTTAGAAACAATTAAATATCGCCTACTGTTAACACTATTAAGAACATTTTTTCTCTCTAGGATACTGATGATTTTCATTTGAGTTTGCACAAATAGATCTAATATTACATCCAAATTATCCATTTTTACCTGATAAAATAAATCTAATCACAAATTATAATTAGGTTCGTACATCTGTTTACAACTATCCCGTCAACAGTTTGATATAACGGAGGTTTATTTGTTGTAATATGAGCTGAGACAAGTAGATGACAGAGCTCATAATACCATTAAATTAGATCTTAGATCACGTTAACTCTGACAGAGATGTGTGCAAAAGTTAAACATTAACAATACACGTTGAAATTAGATTAATCGAGACAGAAGTGTAACTTTTTAAAATAATTGGCTATTATAACAGAAAGATATTGCCACAAACATCTACCTGAGCTTCAAAAATTTTCTCCACTGTCTTAAAGATCTTACTTTATACACTTACTAATGAATAATAAAAAATCTAGCCAATGATAACAACTGACAATATAACACGAGAAGGCTTTTGTGGTGAGTACTCTTTTTCGAAAAAGATAATGTGACGATAAGTTTGTTAACACTCATCGAAATATTGATGTAAGTGAAACAAAATGGATCATAAACTGATTAGGAAGAAATATTTACATTTGCTTATATTCAATGCATAAATATGTAATTAAAGAGATATAACAATATCGTTTTAAAACTTACAAGCCACCTTCGATATAACGGGAAGTTATAAGCCGACTCTAACAATTGATTGTCATCAAATACATTGAACAGTGTATTTACATTAGGTTCGCGCAATAAAGTTGGATAACTGAATACGTTACTTTGTGAATCAAATTCATAATGTTTACAAACGGTAGGACCCCATACAAGATAACTTGATGTAAAAAAATATATTTAAAATTTGAACTTTTTTTTAAGCTGAGTACAAAAGAAATTAACCTTTGCATATAGTGAAACTTAACTTTATTAAAAGACAACAGGCAACCACACCCGCAAGTGACATGATGCGGTCAACGATAGAGAGTCGACTTTCCCTGTCGATAGCTCATTTGGGCATCCAGAGATAACAACTTTCAAGAAAATCTTACTCACTGACTTCTCATGCCATCAGTTTCACTGTCGAAATCGAGAGGACAAAAAGCCAATGTCCGGTGTTTCAACCGCATTGATGGGTACGAAGCATCCACTTAGGAGAGTTGAAAAACCCTGAATACAAAACAAGTATGCACATGAGTTCTATGACGCTGAAGAAATGAGTGGCGTACGAACCTATTATTGACTGTCAGCATCCAAAGAGTTGCATCTATTGATGATGCTTCACTGCCTTGTGGTTTAGATCACTTGGTCTAAGGCTCGGGGATCGGCTTCCTAAGGAAACCAATTAGATGTTTTTGGCACCCGGGCAGTATGTTAGCCCATACACAAATTCATTTATTGGTGTGGCACGTAAATATTCAAGAAGCTAACACCAAGAATTATGTGCTCAGACAATAACACTATCAACCACCTACCACTGAAACATAGTGCACGTGATGTCGAAACTCTCATACAAGTGTTGATACAACGAACTAATTGATAAAATTTGAGCAGAAATGAAGGACTAAACAAACGTGACATTAGTCACAACCTTTTGGTCAATGAGTCTTAAATATTTCAGTCTTACATTAAGTGAGTAGAAGCATGAATAGCTCAGCCGTAACATCACAGGATGATGAGGGTTCAGATCCTAGAGAAGTTATTAGTTTCCCAATGATCCCACACAGCTTATGCTGACGACTGCCAGATGGTATGAAAATTATCTTTAGAATTTCCTACCAACTTCCTTTAATCCCCTTGCATGATATATGAATCAGATTTAAAATGGAAATCGTCTTACCATCGTGGATGTTTAATTAGCCTTAAGAGTGAGACTTAAACCACCATAGATTATTTACATATTATTTAACAGATCGAGTGAAATTAATAAAACGACACTCTTATCAAATCTTTATTGAAATGAAACAGCTGTTAAGAACCATTCAAGATTCAATGATAATAAAGTTAGGACTAGATTGTTAATGATGATAATACTCCCTAAAATGTGATGTGTTACAAAAATATATCTGTCACTTAGCCAACACTAAATACAATACAAAACATACTGTATTGTCTTATTTGAAAACCTAAGTTACTCCAAATCATACTATACAGTAGACGTGTGAGACTAAAGGTACAACTATACGCAGCGATTCAAATACTGCATATAGTAAACATAATGACTTAATAAAGTAGAATTGAGAATAATTTCAATTATAAAAATTTAATATACTTCACACGGTTTATTAGATAGATTTGTTCCCCTAAATACTAATTAACTCCTATTTATATATATTTTATTTGCTGACAGATGAATAGATATTTTAAGCCCTAATCATTTTTTAATTTTTTACTAAGTGTAAGAAGAAGAAAGGTATTATGTATCGGTTGGAGTTTTTAGTGCTAACTAAAATTACTATTCAACTTTACTGTTAAAAGTACTTTTTTAGTTGGATAACATACATATGGAGAATTAGCAAAACACGATATGTGACCAACTAACTAGTATCAATTCACCAAATTCACACTTAACATACGAGCAAACTAATTCCGTAGATAAAACAAAACAGGAAGAAATGAGTAGTTCACATATAGATTTTAGGTGACTTTCGTACATTAATTTTTAGTATAAATTAATACGGGACGACTATGGTCATTCAGTTTCAATAACATTTTCACTGCATTAATTAATTTAGTGACAAGTGTTGAATTGAATAAATTTTTTTTACTAACAAACATGGAATTTATTCGTAACAGAGTTCAATGAACACAATTGTGAACTAGTCTTCTTGAAACACACACCAAATAAACCTTACAGACAAGATTTATTTTTCGAAGTAACCGGAATTAAGAGGGAAAGGATGTTTGGTATATCAGAAGACTAGAGAAATGGTAACTTCCAGGACTGATTATATATATAGCATTAATGTGTAATCATATATATATACATATATATATATATATATATATATATATATATATATATCCTTTTATTATGATCTTCCGACTAACGCATTAAATACTGTTGTGTGATTTATTATTCCTAATCTGTTGCTAGATTATTATTTTTACAGACCCTGATTCACAGCCACTTATGGGCTCGCTCAAGTAAAAATGTGTTTTCTCATTATATGGTGTGATATGGTCTGCTGTGTTTGACATATAAACTATGCGTGAAATATAACGAATGCTGTAGCGATTAAATTACAGACATTAGAACCAAGAGACAGGGTAGAGAAAGAAGCTATCGAGCTATGGACCAATAAGGATTTGGAGCTAACGTGTTGGTGCTAAGCGTAATTCTGATTGGTTTTTTATTTGTCACATGATTTTGAATGAGGGTTAGGGATACAACACTCTTGTGATACGGTATCCAATCGCCGTTGCTTTTTTAACTACAGTAATTAATAAGTGCTAGTTAACCAGTTGATAAGCCTCTTCTATCTCCGTTCTTTTATTCTATGGATTACAAATAAAATCAAAGATGAGGCCGCTGTGTACGGTGTGAATTTACTTTTTGAGCTCTTAGGTTTTTTACTCTGGCAATATTCTTCTTTAAGACTCACTACTGCACAATAACGCGTCCGTTCTTTGAAGAGGTAAAATTTAGTGAAATGCTACACCTTGCGATGCCAACATTGAGGGTTGAGTTCTTTAAATTTGAGCTACTTGAGGAGACAGAAGCGGCTACGTTTTTTGTTTATGGATTGCATGTACTTTCACAATGCTTAGCATAGAACTGGAAAAAACTAATAAAAAGTTGAATACGGACTACCTGTTGGCACTTAATAGCAACACCGACGCGTTAGCTTGAAGTCTTGACTATGTTGACGAAGTACTCATGTACGAGAGAACTTTGAGATCATAAGCTGTAAATGATAGGTAAGGCCTTGAACTAACCTTTGGTCAGTGACTTTGAACGGAAGCATTCGCGTTAGAAAATCGTTAATTTCCCTCAGTATCAGCTTCAAATATCGGTATCCAAAATCAAGTAATGAGAGGTTTTATTCGAACTCATTACTTAGTATTCATTAAAGTATACATCGATTACATTTAGAAATTATAAATAAACAAGAATGTAGAACGAACAAATAATACAAACGGAAAATAACTCAGAATTAAATAAGACAATGAAATGCACCGAAAATAAATGAAACAAAAATCGGATTAAGTCGATATTTGAACTTTGACAGAAATTACTATTAACACGTTGCAATTGAGGGTGCAACATTTACAACAAATGGATGTCTCTAAATAAAACATTCACATAACTCAATATGATATCCTACTGAATAATATATGGTATCTACCCAAGATTTGTTACATATTAAAAAGCATAACTGTTTTAAAACGCATAGATAAATGGTTTTGAAAAAAAAACAGAAACTATAATTTACCTAGACCGAATCAAAGATCCTGGTGAATATTTTTCCAGAAGATAAATCAATTGGAGAATAGTTTGATCTTCAATACAGAACAAAAGATGAGCAAAATTAAAAATGATATCTCACATATTTAAAAACATTTTCAAAATACTGTAGTAAATTTCTACTTTATTTAATCGCGAAGCATATGAAACGAGTGTACAATTGGGCAGTCAGTCAGTAACAACGTAGAACTTCGTACGTACGTACATAAGTCCAGGTTGCCATACCAAAAATGCAACTGCATGAAGACTCAACTAATAAAATCATTGCAACAAATTACGAATTGTGAGTTAGCAGTTGAAAAATGACCAGATAAACCTAAGAAATTAGGCTCAGCTAACGATGATCAAGGATCAAATGAAGTGGTACTACCGTAGACATGAAAGAGTAAGGCAGGCTACAAACTGCAAATAATAAACGAATCCTGAGATTCTTTTCAAATGTCACCTATGCATAGATTATATTGAGTAAAAATGAGACTCTTAAAACATAAAAGGAGCTCCAGAGCCAAATGAACATAAAAATCTACTCTACATTATTATTTGCATTAAAATCGTGGAACTGAACCGGAAGTAAGCTACCTATTATGTTCCATTCTAGTTATCGATAAAGCGTATGAAAACTGCACTCTGGACGAACATCGTGTTGTTTGGTTAACAGGTCATCCATCCTAAGGAGGGAATATAGGCGGAATAATTAATGCTCAAACTAGGCCCAATCATCCTTGCTACAATACAATGCAAATCTGTTCCTTTTTTCTCAAATCAATTCGAGAGAAAGACAAGTTAAGTAAACACAAAAATCAATAGAGTAATAGGCGAGAATCGACTCAATACTGTAAGATATGCAGTACCGAACTGTTAGACAATGGATTTTACCGACCATATATAAACAGACTTGAATAGCAATAACCGATTTCCGTGTTACGTAGTCTGAATTCTATTCAGTTATTTACAAAAATGAGTAATAACGTCAAGATACACACTTCAACTTTTAGTTAGTTTGTCCACTACTACTTATCAAACATATTTCATTTGTTTTGCATGAATTTTCACAATCGACTGTTGTAACAACGATTATGTCTTCTAAACTACTCACAGGTTTGATTATTTCTTTTTTTTCTTTATAACAACATTGTATAATTAGATGAATTTAATATTTTTCAGCTCTGGAATTTTTTTTCGATGAGTTTGACGTTTCACATGGATTCTATGCATACCTTACAATGATATATATATATATATATATATATATATATATATATATTAGTGAAAGGGAGAGGAAGGTTAACTTTTAAAATATATCCTTATGTTTCTAAATGTATAAAATCACCAATTATAATTCAAATAAAATACTCACCAAGCGAACTCATTGTAGCATTGTATGCACTCAATAACCATAAAACTGAAATATGTTTGTACACAAATTTCGGTGCAACAGAAGCTATCTCCAATAGAAACCTGAATAAATATTCTAAAATTTGAGAAAAAAAATAAATGCAAACACACTTTTCATGGTACTTCTCTGATTCTGCTTTTTTCCCTTTAAAAAACACATAGTATAAACAAATACAACAAAACAAAAAACAGACATTCAATGTTTTTAGTAATTACCTTTTAATAAATATTCATCTGAAATGGTTGACATTTTTTCATCCATTGATTGATGTTTAAATGTAACATTTGTGAAAAGCATTGCTTTTAGATTAACATATTTTAAAAGTAATTTGAAAAATATTTTCGGTTTGTACGATACAGTTAATGATGTACGAGTGTATAATAAATGAATAAATTTCGATAAGTATTGATATACTACTGGGTAATTTGAATAATATCTAATTGTGAATAGAAGGAAAAAAGGATACAATTATTTACTATCAACTGATAAACTAAGAAGTTGATGATTTTGAACCAAAAAATAGAAAAGCAGCACACTCAAAGTAGACTAATGAGTTTGTTGAAAATGGTCCCTGATCCCTCATGAAGAATCATTCATCACCTTATTTTATTACAGTAAATTCACCGATGACGACCCAAATCTCTAAAAATGCAACATATCCTTTCATTCCGTCGTGGTCAAGGAACCAATAGCCAGTTGATTCGCAGCTCTTTCGAAGCCATTATAAATGCCTATAATTTGTTGGAAACAATCGTGTTTAACACAAGTGCTATCTCTCTTTTCTAATGCTTTCGAAATTATCATATGCCCTTGCAAAGATAAACACTTTAAAGAAAATTCTACTCATTGCCTTCTCATGCAAGTGGTTTTGTTTACGCTATTAAGAGGACGAAAAGCGAATATCCAGTGTTTAAGGCGCGTTGGTGGGTACGAAGCAACCACTTAGGAGGGTTGAAAAACCTTAACTACACACCAGGGGTGCATATAAGAAACAAATGGCGTATGAAACTATTGTTCAATGTCGTCAACGATGGAGCTGCATCTCCTAGTGAAGCTTCACTGTGGTTTAGACCACTTGATAAAAGACTCGAGTATCAGCCCTATGAACATGATCCTAAATATTCGGTTAGCCTCGAAAAAACTAAACAGATCAGCAAAAGTTTTACGTTGGAAAGGAGAAGGGACCAGAATACATCATGAAGGGTTTAGCACGCATAAATATTGAAAACAGAAGCTGTGTATATATGTGCTAAGCAGGATAGCATTAACAGGAAAAATGGAATTCGAAGAGCCACGTATTGACAAATGACCAATCACAACTTATTTGACCTTGTCCTTTTCGACATCATTTGTATTACATGTAGCTTTATTCTGACAGAAACTAATCTGAATGTTTGAACACAACTTTATATACAACAATCCTCATTTTACAAACAAATCTACGTTTTAAAAGCATTTTCAATTTATAATTTTATTTCCCACTTTTAGTAAATTGTATGATTACCATTCATGAATCAAATATCAACTACTCAGTCAGCCAATGAGCGACAACGTAAAACCTTGTACGATCGACAGAGTCAGATGCCGGAATACAAATATTGTCGGACGCCGAAAAGTGTATGATTTCTAGGATTGTGTCGAATTGTCAACAATCATGTTCAGGTCTGTAACCAGATTGGTTTCCTCGAGTCAGCTCCTCACGAGCTCTAGTTAGGCATCGAATTAACATCGACGCTAATATTTTAGACAAAATATTAATTAAACTAATTGTCGCAAGAGAACTGTTTTAATTTCTTACAAACCAATAAGATGTGATTACCCCAGTTCCCAGATTTTAGTGAGTATATCAGTCAATCTGCTGCTAGAACTGAACAACCATCCTTAAAAGCCCCACACGTTAATCAGAAGCTTGCTGCTCTCTCACCCCATAGATAGCTCATACCTCTTACAACTTCTTAACGAGTTGGAGGGCTAACATCGATTTGTCAATCAGGTCGGGAGGAGATCGTGAGCAGTTGGATTATCAATAAAGGCCAGTTGAACAGATCCTTGAAACGATCTGCCCATCGATCCGATCTCCTGGATTAAGAACAAATAACAGTCCTGTCTATTGCAGAGTCTCGCTAACAGTCCGATTTCTAATGCCAGCTTCTATGATAAGTTTGAAAAGTTGTCTACTGCTGAAAATCTAAGGCTAACGATTTGAGTACACGAAATGTGACGTCCGAACTTGCTTTGTAAATTTTCTGGCTTCTTTTGTTTATCTAGACAATAATTTTGTCTTGAGAGAATTGGTAGATAAAAAAGGTGAGAATCATGTGTGTACAATTTACTTTGGCAAGGTGCTCTAGATTTACTTATTAATGGATCTTTTGTGGATAAATATTCAAATGTAATTTTAATCTTATGCGTTCTCAAGAAAGTAAGTTCATTATTTAACTTTCATTCCATTACAGGTAGCTGAAAACAGTTCAATCAGCAAAACACAGCGAGTGCGTGTATTCAACCAATATTGTCTTCAAAAACTAGCATTGTGGTGCGGTGTTGCGAACTACTTATAAGTAGTATATAGCGTGAGTGTCAACGTAAAGTCTGGTAGCATAATATGGGGGGAAGATCAAGAAAGGAAGAGTCAGAAAACAATGGAATTTGTTTGAAACGCATGAAGAGTGACAATGGATTGATGTTTGGCAACAGGAACAGTCCAGTTCCATAGGATGAACTGATCCTTTGCAAATGAACGATTTACGATATGGTTTTCCGATTTTACTGAGTAACTCTGTAATTTTCGTTAAATACAATTCGGTTGCCCCCACCTGTGTTCTCATTCACTACATTTGGTGTCGCTGCCAGGATCGAAGGAAGGGGCTCCCGTGGCCGAAGGAGTTGCAGGACGGAGATTGGCGGAGCTTCCTGGAGGAGTTTGGGGCCACGGTGGAGCTGGTGGGGGCTTGGGGCGGAGTTGACGGTGCTGGGGACGCTGTGGGGAGGTGAGGCGAAGGCGGTGCACGACAGCCTGGACGGTGCCACCAAGGAGACGGCGTGGGAGACGGTCACCGGGCGGCTGATAATGGAGTTCGACAGCCCAGCGGACAGGGAGGAGGCGCCGCAGAGGTTCCGGTTGGCGCGGCTGTCGGCCGATGGTGACCTGTTGGTGCTTGCTGTGGAGCTCACCGGATTGCGCCGTGAGGAGTGGACGGGGCACAGTCTTTGGCGTCGCAATTTATCGAGTGTGTGCCTGCCGCCGTGTTCCAGCGTCGGGAACTTGTGGACGCTACACGTTGGATAGATGCCGTATCCATTCCAGACCAGTGATCAAGAACGATGACCGAAGTGGTAAGCCGGCATAGTGTAGCGTGTCACGGAATACGGAAGGTGATATTAACTGACCAGGAGCTCTGTTTTGAAGGACCACGACGACAGCTTATTAAAAGGGGGGACGAGTGTGGTGCGGTGTTGCGAACTACTTATAAGTAGTATATAGCGTGAGTGTCAACGTAAAGTCTGGTAGCATAATATGGGGGGAAGATCAAGAAAGGAAGAGTCAGAAAACAATGGAATTTGTTTGAAACGCATGAAGAGTGACAATGGATTGATGTTTGGCAACAGGAACAGTCCAGTTCCATAGGATGAACTGATCCTTTGCAAATGAACGATTTACGATATGGTTTTCCGATTTTACTGAGTAACTCTGTAATTTTCGTTAAATACAATTCGGTTGCCTCCACCTGTGTTCTCATTCACTACACCCTTATACGAGCAATGCATCGAAGACACCTATGATCGAAAACCTGTAGCCTACGAATATCTTCTACTCTCACTGGCACAAACTATGGGGGTGCGTATAAGCACTGGGGTTCTCGAAGAAACAAATGGCGTATGAAACTGTTGTTCCATGTCGGCAAACAAGGGGCTACATCTGATGATGATGATGTTCCAACGCCTTGTGGTTTAGATCGTTTGGAGTGCGCGAGACGATAGTAACCGATGGTTAGAGACCTTGAACGACATGGTTCAAAATCGTTTGCAATGGCGCAGGTGCATCCACTCTTTGTGTTCTCCCAAATGCTAATATTCTGAATTCCTCATCACCTCTATCTTTCTGTTTCTTGAATAATTTCTTCGAACCCTAATCTTCCCCATCACCGCTAATACTTCTACTATCTCTACCACTATGGGATTTGAACTGACAGTTGTGTCTCTGTGCCAATGCCATGGTAACCTGAACTTATGTACTTACATACGAAGTTCTACGTTGTAACTGACTGTAGTTTAGACCACTTGGTCAAAGGCTCGGGGGTTGACCTCCTAAGAAAACCAATTGCTTTGTTTTGGTCACTCCGGGCAGTATGTTGGCCCATACACAAATTCATTCGTTTGTGTGAAGCAAACATATTTATGAGTGCCTCCATACCAATCTTTAGGTATTTAAATGAAATCAAAATTCTCAGTAGACATCCAAGGTACATAAAGGCATTTTCGAAACTGATATTCAATGATAGAACAATGCATATTATAGAACTGACTGAAACAGGAATTTTATAGGATATTTTGTTATATTATGCACTAAATATTATCCATCAATTCTAAAGGTGAGATAAAATCTGATTATAGATATTATGGAGATGAATATTTTTCCTGATTATGTACCTAAGGGATCATTGATAACAGTGCACATGTATTTAATTAGTCTGATCTTGAAATCCTGGATATCTCTACGATAACCAGTTGTCTTTATCTTCTAGTCACCTGCATTTTCTAGTTTATTCGTATCAGTACTTTGTTTATTTGAATAATCGTTTAGCACTATACTAATGATAGCCCAAAACGATATACTATTTTACATACACTATATGTTTTGTTCAGTTCAGAAAGTAGAAAACCAAACAACTCCGGTCTGTATACATCTATTTCTTACTGAAACAAAGCTAAATAACGTCTCAGACTATTCACTTTTCTGATGCCCAAATTAAACTAAAAAAACTGCCTTAATAAAGTAATGCAGCAGGAAATCTGAAAAAAACTAACCTGCAAGGCTTTCCTGATAGGATCAACCATTTTCGGTGACAAGACACAGAAATTCGCCATAACGCCAGCTAAAACTTCAACATTGAGTGAATGCGATAACGCAGTTACAGTGAACTGAATGATATATTTGCTAACCGATTTGTAAATCTGTAAACAGATAATTGTAAGCACCAATATTATTAAAAAGGATTTACTCTAAAAAACAAAAATTTATTCGGAAGTTATGTGAAGTTAGCGAAATGCAACAGTCACCTATTCAGATTAAAACGGTCCCACCATAAAAGTACATTTGTTACAGTTATCCTTAAATTTGCCGTACAATTTCATTTTCAGACAACCAAATAGATATAAAGCATTCAGTCCAATATTAAAAATTCTAGAGATTACTTTTTGAACAATACATTTTCGACTTTTGTACGGTTGTATACTAAATTACATACTTATTAAATATAAAGCACAGAATCTATCCGTGTTTTCGGCAACAAAAGCTGAACACCGATGCTTTCTTTGATGCACTGTTGGAGATGAGGTTGAAGAGTATACTTTCCCTTTCGAAATGTGGATGAAGGCCAGTTGAACTGATGATCCCTGAAATGCTCTGCCCATCGATCCGATCTCCTGAATTAGGAATAAATAATAGTCCTATCTTTTCCTAGAGTCTCGCTAACAGTCCGATTTCCGATACCAGTTTCCTTGATATGTCTGAACAGTTGTCTACTGTTACCTATCTCAGTCACCTTTTCCACCTCTCTTGCTTTCGCTACCCACCATTGTTCGCGATCATTGCGTAGGCTTCCTATCAGCCTGTGTTTAGGCTGATTCGTCCCTCACCAACTTCACAGCCATACTGGGTGAGTTTTCGAGCATCTATCAGTTTGGTAGATGATACCGAAATCTACTCCTCCTCCTCCCTAACCTTTTGGTTTATCTTACTGACAGATATCACTGCTGTTTCCACAGATTTTTGGATATCATTCCAAGCTGCCTCAGCTTGAGCACCAACTACATGGCTGCCTAACTTTTTTTTCTTGTTGTCCCTGAAATATATTCGTGGATTTGCTATCGTTAAATAAAACTCTACGGGGTTTCCTTGATGTGTCTTTCTTAAGTCCAGTAAGACGCAAACAAATACGTGCTTGCATTATTAGAATGACCTGAATCTAAATATGTGCTCCATAATGAGCGGCAGTCTTCTATCGAGCCTCTCTATCGCTGACTGATAGCAGTGTAGTCTAGTTGGATCCAGTGTTGAGTTGACTTTGAGGGTCGCCACGTCAAAACATGTTTATCCTTATGTTGAAAGTTGGTGTTTGCCAGAAACAGGCGATTGTCTGGGCATAGTTGCATCAGACGGTCACTATGATCTGTTCTTTGAGTCATGACACCATAAGAACCACCCGGATGTCTTTCTGTTTCGTTTAATGTACCCAATTGAACATTAAATCACCAGCTACTGATATCACCGCAGACTGCCTAGTTTTCTGAAGGAGTTTGGAAACGCTTCCGTAAAATTTATCTTTTACCCTGTCCGGGCTCAAATCCGTCAGAGCGTATGCAGAGACACCAAAGAGGCAACGGTAAGTTTTTGTAGCTTTACGGGTCCTTACTGTCCCGTTTAGTCGGACAGCACATGAGTGACTACCGACTTGTATCCAGTCTAAGAGAGGCGGTTCTGCTTTTCGGTTCAATACTACATCGGCAACATAAAGGCCTCGAGGAGCAGCAGTGGGGCCTCCAGATACACGAAAGGTAAATCAAGATGGCTCTTTATCTTGAAAAGGAGAGATCAAATAAAAGACTCCACTTGGATCCTGCATTTGCGTTTCGGAGACGCAGCATACATCGATGGCGCGAGATTCCAAAGTCCTAGCTAATGAAGCCTGTTGCCCTATTTGACAAAATGTCAGGACATTAAATGCTCCAATATGTAACTTAGAACGCGGTTTCAGGAAACCAGAAATAACGTTTCGTGAACTCGCATCGTTTGCATTAGCGGTGCGGGGTGATGAAGGAATGTGAGAAGAGGTAGTCGTGGAGACAAGAGAGATATTAGGGGGTGTAGGAAGGATTTGTTTGTGACCAATTTGGTCTAGTGTGCTGTTACGGGTATGAAGGCGGATGTTGCTTCCCGGCTGCCCACACCGTGTAAGAGTGTTTCTAAAGGAACCTGAAAAGGAAAGTAGGTTAGTGTCGGTCGGTGACCACAGAGCCCAAGGGACAGCCGCTTGAGGCCGGTCACGCACGGCCTTTTTATGAGAGGTTTCTTGAGTAGTGGCTCAGCTCTTTTCGAAGATCTTATTGGGCAGCCCTTACCGCCGGAGACGGAAATCCGTGAGGTAAGGCGAGGTGTGACAATTCTAGGGTGGGCTTTTTCTAACCCTTCCTTCCTTGTGAGAAGGCAGCATCGCTGCGGATGCTGGTTGTCCGAGGGTATCACCTTACCGCTGACACACCCATATACAGTCAGCATTACGACTTCGCCCTCAGACCTTCAGTCGCTGCCTTTAGTTCCACTTTTCTCCGATTGACCTGCCTGGCATGGTAGAACCTTCAGGAACATATGTTCCAGACAATATAGCTCTGTTGGGTCATCATGATAGGCAGGCCCGACCACTACAACAAGGTAGCAGCTACATTCGGGATGGGAAAATTCAACCATAAATGATTGCACAACTGAGTGATATTTATCATTCAACTACGAGACTCGATGAAATCAAAAAATATATCATGCAGAATACATGAAATAAGTGTTTATCAAGTCTACACTAATCAATACATCTAGTTAAAAGATTAGATGGTTTTGCTCACCCAATAAATTATCGATTCCTGAGAAATTATAAATTGAGCACCGGATCATAAAAAAACAATAAGCAAATCAAGGTGATAATATGGTTGACTCACGTGAGATATAAACTCCATTAAGCAGAACCAGGTAGGTGAATTGCGTGGATATAAACTTGGAGCCAAGTGATCAAGATAATGAGGAAACAATTCTGGACATTTACAGAGCGCAACAACAACCAGTTCGGTACGCAAGGGATCTTTATACGCATCCTCCATCTGGGCGGATGTCAAACATGCCAGTATTAGACTATTGTGCTGACTGCAACAAAACCATTAGGACAACAAAAAATATGATCACTAAGATGCAAATACACAACCATGCTGAAGTATTTTGTATCGTAAACCAAACTTTTGAGTTTACGAAATTTCGCAATCTAAATTCTGTTGAAAACAAGAATACATAAAACCTAGTATGCAGAATATCAGGGACTCAGATGACTGTAACAACAAACTTAGGATTCATGAAAAACACTCGGATGGTAAACTTACATGTTAGAATCAAACTTATTTGAAAACACTAGCCCAAAACGACTAGATGTAAAAAGATGGGTTAGGAGCTTGTGTACGGTGTCTCTAATTGACGCTAATTCCTGCTCATTCACCTCAGTAATATCTTTTCTGAGTACTTCATCAATAGAATTACCCTCTCCCCGCCATATATACAGAGATGCTAGTTTTTGAAGACAATATTGGTTGAATACACGCACTCGCTGTGTTTTGCTGATTGAACTGTTTTCAGCTACCTGTAATGGAATGAAAGTTAAATAATGAACTTACTTTCTTGAGAACGCATAAGATTAAAATTACATTTGAATATTTATCCACAAAAGATCCATTAATAAGTAAATCTAGAGCACCTTGCCAAAGTAAATTGTACACACATGATTCTCACCTTTTTTATCTACCAATTCTCTCAAGACAAAATTATTGTCTAGATAAACAAAAGAAGCCAGAAAATTTACAAAGCAAGTTCGGACGTCACATTTGTCTCCGAGGTTTCTTCTTTTGGAACATTTTTTCATTATCATGCTTTCGAAATCAACATATCGTAGAATCCCTCGAGCCAAATCTTCACTAACCGTCACAACAGATGCTAAGAGCTGAAAACATGCTTTTAGGATTTCCGCATTCTGAGACCTCATGGACTTCAGGCATAAAGAGAAGCGAGCGTCTTCAAGGAGGCCTTCGGAAAGCTCTCTGGCCACATTCGGATAGCGATCCTTCAGATCTCGAGAAGTTTTCAAAATAATAATAGTGAGTGCTTTGAAGACTGCAAGAAGCTATGAAAGTATTTACTGATATGCCAATCTTACTTCTGCTGGCTTCCTATCCTTCCCAGTATCCAAGAATTTAAGTATCTGGCTAACATCTCCTGCAGCAACCACGTTTGCAACGAATTCAGAAGCATCCTCGTCAGTAACAGACTCAACAAGATGCACCAAAACTATATATTCGATTAGAAAACACGGATCGCCTACCTGATATATCAGATGCGATGGAATTAAATCTTTCATTTTTCTCGTAAGAATCATGGTTTTTAGGTCCTTTCTCACTTAACCTAATACGTTTCGAGGGTAACGACATTACAAGACTTCGTTGATTACGACCTTGACCAAGTTAACGGTAACGTATATTTTCGAACACTTCAAACATCCAATATTTCAATGACTTTTTCACGAGCCAGTATCAACCAATTGATTTGTTTGAGCTCAATTGTAGTTAAGCCTGTGTATTTTTGTCCTATATGGCTCAGCTGAAGTCACTGCAGACGTGAAAACCCCAAATGAATAATTTTCTGATCTTCTGTATTGATTATGGCCCAGTCAGTTGTACTAGGCTTAGATGACCGGTCAGGTATCAGCACAGATCACTTCTCAGTAGGTTGTTATCATACTCACCACGGCCTGCCTGACTAACACCTGAAGACGTACAAATTCAGTGAAGCTACTCCATACAGAATTTTATTCAGTCATCAAAAGGAAAACTAGACAAAACGAAGAACCAACCAACAACTAAATATTCTCAACATGTTCATTCAGACCAAAATTTTATATTCATTGGGTGTTGCAAAGGGACCCGACACAAAGAACCTTCAATTAACCGGCCGGTTACACTTCTTTCAGTGCCTTCAAAAGTAATACTCTTTGATATATGATAGCAGATGCGACAACTTGTCATCTCTAAACTTCTTTTCGCTTTTATTACCACGTATTGAGGAAGAGCCACTCCCATATAGCCGACCTGATAGTTGAGATGGACAGATGAAAAAACATCCTAGGTCGCCAAGGGATAGTGGTTGGAATATGAACTGACTTCTCCAAAACGTTTGATAAGTTCGGCCATACATGTCTCATCCATATGCGCAAACCAGTTACTATCGATCCATCATTAAGAAACTGGATTACTCCCTACCCAAAAAATCAACTTTTTACGGCTTCAGTAAGCATTGCTATTTCTTAGGCTGCAGAATATCCTAGCGGTGACCTTCAGGTTTCAGTACTAGGGTCGCCCTCTACATATGACGTCTGAGTTTTCACGGACATGGTTAAACCGAAAAAGATTCTCGCAATCTACGTAATAAGCCGGCATCCTAAGAGGATTTGACAAGAATTCAAAGTTAACTGAACAAAAGCGAAATAATTTTTAACACTTCGAATCTCAACGTGGCTCGCTTGAGACATACCGCAGACCGCACATGAAACTTACGTAACTCTCCGGGGGAGGTGACACAAGTTGAGAAAGATCAGGAAGTTTTAGTCCTATATGATGTAAAGCCTTACACTCACTGTTACAAAACCGCCTTCCAAGTAAACCTTGAACTGGTGACCTTGAAGCTCATTTTTTCCACTTTTGGCAGTAAAATGTCCCTATTAATCTCCAAGATTTTACGAACTCATGTAGAGTATGTGAACATATTTTATTTCCTCACTCACTCTCAAAATATAAGAGTACATTGGAACGTATGCAAAGGTGTGGTGTTTGAATGAACTAGTGACTTCTTGGTTGTTGTTGAACGCTTGATTTCGAATTCTAAATAAAGTAGATTCGTTCGTGCTCATCTTGTAGTTCTTGATTCACTTACATTATTTCTGGGATTAATAGTTCATCCTATAATTCAAATACTTCTAATTATCATATTGGCGTCGCGATGGAGCTTGTGATGGAACAGTTAGATATTCATTCAACTTCTGAAGCTTTCGAGGATTATTTGGAAAGTTTTGAAATCTGGAGCATGACCAAAAAAGATGTTAAAGATGATAAGATTGTGGCACATTTCCTGACATGCATCGGAAGAGAAGGGTACAGCTTATTAAAAACTTTGGCATATCCGGAAAAACCTATCTCACTTCCTTATGCAACGCTTAAGGAGTTATTATTAAATCATGTAAAGTGCACTAGTTTTGAATGCCGTGAAAGGGCGAAATTTCATAAGATGACTCGTCAAAATGACCAAAAGGTTAAGGAATTCATTCTTGAATTGCAGAAACAAGCTGTCAAATGTAATTTCGGTGATCAACTCCATGTGCAGCTGAGAGACCGATTAGTTGCAGGAATTAACATACCTAGTTTGGAAAGAGAGCTGTTAAGAATGTCAAACTGTTCCTTTCAAGATGTTAGAACTGCGTGCATTAACTACGCGGAGTTGAATGAACATGATATTCAGTCGATGAAGATTTCCAATACTTTGATTATTTGTCATGATGAAGCACAATCTAAGGGTCAATCAAAATTGTGTTCGTTTAACAGTGGTTCCTATTCTCGTGTAAATATGAACGGTGTTTCAATAAAGAATTACAAAGGAAATCACAAAAGTGTGACCAAGTTTGGCAAATGTTTATCATGTGGAAAACTTCATTCTCGTCATTCATGTGCATTTCGTAATGCTAAATGTTTTAGATGTGGTAAGATAGGACACATTCAAGCAGTATGCAAAGCTACTGTTTATTTTGCCTCAAGTAGTACTAAAGCTTGTAATTTAGATCCCAATAATTCAGCTGATCCTAATGATCATTTATCTTTGTCTACCATTTCGAAAGGTAATGCTCATATTCAAAAGCGATTATATACATCGCTTGGTTCATGTCATGACTTTATTGTGGGCACAGGCAGTATAGAGTCTATTATTTCATTCAAGAACTTGAAATCGTTAGATCCTAACGTTGTGGTTCGACCCACTGAAGCATCAATATTGGGGATTACTGGACACAGACTGCCTATACGAGGATCTTGTGAATTGCTAATAAGAGATGATAATTCCTCATACATACCTTGTGAATTTTTAGTTAACGAAACAGGACTGTCAATACTGGGTTTAATGAACTTGAAAAGGCTTAGAGTGGAGTTGTCTTTCCTAGTTTCTAAAGAAAATTCTGATGCTTTACTTAAAGATTTGATAGCTACGTGTGCTAAGTGCAGTGGAGGTATGAAAATTCAGCCTATAAAACTTCAAGTACAGGGTGATCCAGTCTTTCTCGAAAGACGAATAATTCCTTATGGTCTTCGAGATGCAGTGCATAAGACATTGAATGATTTGTGTGCAAAAGGCATAACTGAACCGGTTCAGTCTTCTGCATGGGGTACGATGGAGTATTGCTTCGATTGCCTACGACTATACGGTTCAGCACAGGAGTGCCAAACAAATTCAACATGTTGACTACATTTCTCGTCAGTTATTACAAGATAAACCTGTTAATATTTCAGACTGTTTGTTGGTGCAACCTTTGCCAGTGAAACGACCAGATCTCATTAGAGAAACTCGTAGAAACTTTGGATGTATAATTAATGCTATACGGAAAGGTTGGAATGCTAATCTGAAACGCTGATTCCCAATCTATTTTTCAAAGCGGGATGAGCTATCCACTACTCCTGATGGTATTTTGTGTTTAAATGATCGTGTTGTTATTCCTCCTTCATTGCTTAAAGCTGTCCTGGAAGATCTTCATTTAGGTGTTGAGAAGATGAAGTCCTTGGCGAGGCTCACATGGTGGTGGCCAGAGATAAATGCAGATATTTGTCGTACAGCAAACAATTGCGAAAAGTGTCATAAGCTGAAAAATCAGCATTCGAAGTGAACTCCAAGGCCAGTATCGTTGGAGGCCTGGCAGAGAATTCATACAGACTATTGTGGCCCGTTTCTCGGCAAATACTATGCACTTGTAGTCATTGATTCTTTTCCAAAGTGGCCTGAAGTTTTTTTCACAACTTCACCAAAATCTGACTTCACAATTCATGCATTAAGAAAGGTGTTTAGTCAAGAAGGGGTTACAATGGTGTTAGTGACTGATAATGGCTCTCATTTTGCTGCAGATGTAGTTACTACCTGGTTAAATGGTATAGGGTGCATACATCTGTTTACTGCTCCCAGACACCCTTGTTCCAATGGTCAGGCAGAAAATTTTGTCAGGACGTTGAAAACTGCTATTGATTCTATTGCAGCCTCAACATTTAATGAGCTGGAGAGGGGAGTAGATACCTTTCTACTGCAATATAGAAATGCCAGACATTCGGTGACGAAAGAGACTCCATCAAAACTATTAAAAGGAAGAATTCTTCGGTCGAATATGAGATGTTTGGAGTCTGCAGAAGTTACATATTATCGTGGCAATGATCTTCGACCATCCACGGGGATCGTTTTGAAGAATGTCGGGAAATCTATGATGCGACTTCTAGATATCAATGACTTAAGTACACACAATCGACATGTTGATCAAATACAATTCCAAGAACCAGGTGAGTCTGTTCCAACTTCGGTTGTTAATTCTAATACTAATGAGAGCATTCTAGGTAATACAGAGTCTTTATCCAATACACTGTCGGACAGGCACAGGATGAATTTGAGAAGACGTACAATTGATTAAAGGCACTTGGATTCCTATTTAAGCTGTGGCGGATGTGGTGTTAGAATGAACTAGTGACTTCTTGGTTGTTGTTGAATGCTTGATTTCGAATGCTAAATACAGTTCGTGCTCATCTTGTAGTTCTTGATTCACTTACGTTGTTTCTTGGATTATTAGTGAATACAACAATTCAAATACTTCTAATTATCATAAAAGGCAAGGCACGAAATGAGTGCGATGACTCAGGTCTAAACCACATAAGGGTGCTGCAAATCACGGGATCTTTGTCAGAGTACAAGCGTCTCACATGTGACCTCTTCCTGACCTATAGAATCCTAAACACCATAAGACACCCATTAAAATACCTTAGCTTAGTCCCACTACAAATATTATTGGCAGTACTCAGAAATTATAGGCAAAGTATATCACACTGAACTGCAGGCACTTCTTCCATTGTTTACAAGTGGTCAAATTCTGAAATTCACCGCCGGTCAAGGCAGTTCGATCGATCGACTAAGGTTCCTTGAAGAACAAACTTGATATATTGTAATGGACTCAGGATAGCATTTCATCAGAATTTACTAATGTGACGCTTTTTGTCCGTTACATATAACTGGGTGTTTGCTCCAAGGCATCGGTGATCAGCAGCCACAATATTCCGAATCCCGTCAAAACAAGGCTTCTTCAAGTTCATCCACGAACATTTAAGTTTAGGACCCATTTCCTCAAAGAAAAACAAACTTTGACAATCAAGCTAAATTTAACTGAAAATTTCTCCGTATTAATGTAAAGAAGTTACTCTGTTAGTAACATTTCAGTACAAGCAGGCGATTACGGGTTTCGGAAAGGCAGTTCTCGAGCATCCAACATTTTCGTAAAATGGGACAGTTGGACATCCTGCTAGGACCAAAAAATACGGGGGCACATAATATTTCTAGACTTTGAAAAAGCATTTGACGCAGTACCCCAAGCACTCCTAATCGCGACGGCTGCGGAAATGAGCTTGAAGGACCCACTTGTACCTGGGCTAAGAAACTACCCTGAGAACAGAAAGTTTCGTACCAATGTAAATAGAGTGCATGCGAACTGGAGATTCTCAGCATCGGGAATTTCACAGGAGACTATATTAGGTTCACTTCTCTTCTTGTTATGCAAAGTTAGTGTAGAATCAAAACTGAGGTTTGCAATCAGATAATAACTGTTCAAGAAGTTTAGATACACGTCTTGCCGTATTTAAATCCAAAACAAGTGACTGATTAAGTAACGGTTCTATTATTAATCATAAATTTAAATATACATCATTGCCTAAACAATATTACCACTGTTGTTCTTTCAATGATAACAGAGCGTTTCCAATTCCGGAAGAGTGCTCCAATATTCAATCCAAATCGCACACTTCCAGTCAGTATAAGTTCTCCAACCGCCAAAGGAACAAAATCAGTATGGTTGTCGTCATAACTCAGTATCAGCTTAAACAACATAATGCAGTTCGGAAAGAAACATAGAAACCCAAAAAGGCACACAAAATAGAACCTATAATAAAATACAAATATTATCATCCCGAAATGGAATTGAACAGATTTCCAAAATGTAGAAGTGAAAGAATCAATAAGAACATATTTCAAACGTATACATGGCGGGGTTTTCCCAAACAAGGCCTTCCAAAATGGATCCTAAAGTTAGCTTGGTGGCATTGATGTGGAGGTCCATTAGAAGCGAAGATGACTCGACTAAGCTACAAAATGATCTTACATCGACTAAACCAGTTTAAATGTCACGTCACGTAAATTCTGATCCATATGACGCTAACGACCTACACCGTCATCGGAAGTCTGCTCCCTAATCTCTCCTCAGAGCGCGATCTCGGTTTATTGACCACAAAATCCTCCACACTGGTCGAACTTTATAGGTGACGCGACAAAGGCTAATACAACTCTTCATTTTGTGCGAAGACAACTTGGCGCTATCACCTCAGAATTATTCTTTACGTTATTTAAAACATATGTGCTCCCACTCCTTGAGGTTCACAACGTCGTCTCACCTCACCTCCTAAAAAGAGTGCAGAAACGAGCAACGAAATGGGTAATATGGTAGAAAAATAAAACTTATAAAGATAGACATCAGCACTTGAGATTATTTTCTCTGATTCACAGGAAAATCAGAGGTGATCTGATCATGGCGTACAACGTATGAGGGACGCCAAACCATCCCAACGTGAGCATCTTACCGTCACATCACCACCACTCCCCTCGAGTCAAATTTAGAAAAACTGCGCATCAAAAAGCGAGAACTCAGGTTCGTGCACACTTTTTCTCACTAAGAGTCACTTGGAATCCTCTCCCAACTGGGGTAACCATAGCTCCCTCAGTTTAAGAAGAAGAAGACTTGATTAATACGTACTCATATACGGATTATCATCTTCCTCGTGGACCAGCTCTACCTGAGGCATGTCTTGAGACATACTAGTCGTCATTATTTCCATTTCCCCAGACCACCAACTTAATTCACCCCGCTTATTATCTCTTTTTGTCTCCATCGCTGACAGTTCAGCCCCCTCCCACGATCTTCACTACCAATTAATAAACTAAATTATCTATTTATTTACTCAATTCTGAAATCTTATTAGCATCAGAATTTTCTAATTATTATTCCCACATTGCAAGTAGCTGATCCTCAACCTGGTAATGTGATTGCTGCTGGTATCTGAAAACCCGACTACCCTGAAACAAACGTTTTTATACAAATCATGGAACATACAAACAACCAACTGCCAACTGACTAGAATTAGAAAGTCGGGTGGTCAGATCCCCATTCATTGGACACTACCGAACACCTGTAACAGAACTGAAAGAACAAGAATCGAGCGCAAGGAAATCAAGTGGTTTACACTAGCTCATGAAAAAGATATTGGATATTGGATATTGATGACTTTGTTAGACTGCGATGATAGTTTTCTACAGTGACCACTGATTTTTCTGGAATCTGAGCGGTTGTGTTGACTATTGCCATGGGTCAGCCTGAGGCGGAGGCGGAAAAGGAAAAAGGTAACGCTGCTTACAAAAAGAAGGATTTTGAAACTGCGATCGGTCATTATGACAAAGCAATAGAACTTGATCCAACATGCATAACGTATCATACAAACAAGGCTGCAGTGTATTACGAAAAAGGTGAATATGATAAATGTGTGGAAGTGTGCTTAAAGGCTGTTGAGATAGGCAGACAAAACAGAGCTGACTTTAAATTGATCGGAAAAGCTTACGCACGTGCAGCTCATGCCTTTGAGAAAAAAGAAGATTATCATAACGCTCTAAAGCATTACAACTTGTCGTTATCAGAATCTAGACAACCGGATGTTGAGAAGAGTGCTCGAGCCTTAGAAAAACTTATCAAAGAAAAAGAAAGGTTAGCATATATTGACCCAGAAAAGTCAGAAATGGAAAAAGTCAAAGGAAACGAGTGTTATCAAAAAGGTGATTACCCGGGAGCCATAAAACATTACAGTGAAGCGATAAAAAGAAATCCATCTGACGCCAAAATATATAGCAATCGTGCAGCCTGTTACACCAAACTGATGGAGTTCCCTTCAGCTATTACGGATTGCGACAAGTGTATCGAGCTTGACCCTGGGTTCGTCAAGGGCTATCTCAGGAAAGGAGCTGCGTGTAATGCTGTGCAGGATTATGCACAAGCAAGAAAGGCTTTTCGGTATGTTCAGACGGTTTTCCACAGTATTTTTGCAGGAGAAGGTTGATATGTTTAGTTTTAGTTGGAGACGTTATAGGCGGCACGAATTTGTTCCAGGCGTATTATTACTCGTCTTATTAGTTTTTTATGTAGCATATTTGATGCAGCTTGATATCTGGTAACCTAGGATTCACAAAAGCAAAACGTGCAATGTTTCTGTGCAGAAGTCTGGGCACAGTTCATAATCACTGACATCTGACTCTTAGCTGGTTTTTCCTTAATCTTCGGTTACTGCATCATTTATATGTGTCTATTAAGTGTCAAGCAAGTGTTCAACAATGTCACCTTTCCCCATAATATTTGACCGCTGAAGTCGAGCAACAGTGTATCTATATTTAAATCAAAATAACTGGTCACTCCAGTAAACGCTGGTGGTCAGACAAACCATCAAAGCTGAACTATTTTTCAAGAAAAAAACCTAGATGCTACTGGAATTTGAACAATAATTAGGCTGTTCCCCCAGTAGTATTGTACTATGTCCGTTTTGCACAACGATGAGTAATCCAGAGGACTTCACACAATTTACCGATTTATGGTTGGGTTAAGAGTTCAACTCAATTGTTTTAGATACATATATGCTGTTAGTATTCATTATCCCTTATCATCGTTGAAGATTACTTTTCGAAAGACTTGAGGTAATCGTGTTAGTAATACTAACGAACAAGTGTGTTGGAGAAATCTGTTAGGTAAATAAGTCATTACAAACAACTTGCGGGCCGCCTCATACTTTTCGAATTATAATTCTGGTACGAGAAGCCCTCGCGTCTAATGTTTTGCCTTGTGGGAAAGGTGGTGATGCTAGTTATACACATGCAATTAAAAGAACCTGATACTCGAACTATATTACGTATTATGGGAATAGGTTTCGGGGACATGCTGTTTGCAACATAGCCTATAATTGGACTTCGTAATTCTCAACTCCAAACCGATTTAGCGTCTGATGTCTGGACATCGTTAGTGTTGCCAAAGACATCGTTTACACTTTCCAGTTCAGGGCAAAATGTCAAAGACATCCTACTATGTTATTATTTTTCTTATTTCCTGTCGTTATTAAAATTTCAATAAACATTGCTTGGTACACCGAAGTCTCACATAGTTTCCAAGTCAATTTAGTTTTACCTACTTCTGTTCTGATTTTGTTTACTCAGTAATAATTTCCAATCAAGTCCTAAGACGTGTGAGATCATGCAGACCGAGAAGACTTCGGAAAACCACCCGGTTAGGAGAACGCAACAACAAATAATTATTGGGTCCCTAATACTCATTAGGTCTCCAATGTAATTGGTCATTTAATCTACTCGGTATTGTGAAATGTCAAAACTGTCGGCTGTTGAGATCAAATTTAATAGTCTAAAGATCAAAATGTTCGTTACAAGCATGTCAGCAGTTATGTTCTAGATTTATTGTTTTTTATTCCTGAGAAGTAAATACTTATCAATAGTTTGGTAAGTGCTAAGTCTATCCATGACATAACGCTTCGTAATGAAAAAATTCGTTCTAGACTAATCGTTAATTCATAACGACTCCCTGAATGCTATTAAACACTTATACAGTTTGAATTAACTACAAGTCTAGTAAGTGATTCCTAAATGTCGAGTTTTACTGCTGAACTATAAAAGTGCACGCTACCTATGTTTGCGAAGGTTTACATACCGTAATTCGCTTGAATCGACCGTTCAGTTAACTTATTCGCTACTCTTTTATGTATGTACTCAAACAACTTTGCTATATAACTGAACTGGGGAACAAATCCACGACGACTATGGTTAAAGCTTATGTTCCGTACTATTATTATTGATACATGTTTGTTAGTTAATAGATAATTGTCGTAGATGGACCAGTAGCAGATTAAAAAACGCGGAAAATTAGAAAGCATCATACATTTAATATAAATGCTATTTTCGTGGTTCCGATATTCCCTAATAGACCATTCAAACATGCCATTTTTTTATGCCGACTTACGAGTCGCACTCACCGCTTAATGTTTGAATGACAAAAGTTTTCAGAATAGTAGTCCAGGTTCGCTTGGAATAACTGCTATTTTTGTTTGATTTCGAAAGATTTTCCGTGACAGATAGTAAAGTTGATCATCCCGGAGTTACAAATCCAAGAATAATCATTCTCGCAAATCAGGCTCCTGGTAATTTCCTCCTGTCCTTTAATCACACAAGCGGTACCACTATATATAGGTTTTAAACCTCAGGAACACTTTCATTTGAAACCGCCAGTTACCCGGCAGTTATAAGTTTATTGTTCGAGATAAAGTTGCAGCAAACCCACGTCATCATATGATTAATGTTATCTGTGCACCTGTATAGGCACTGTTCTTTAAGATAAATATTGAAGTATCATGTTTCTGAGGTTAATTCTTAGCCGTCTGATTCTCACCCGCTCGCAACTGTATTGCAGCAAACTCAAGTGTTAAGAGAAACTAACTATATACCACACTAAGCAATCTCCAAAAACCGTTTGTCGTGAATCGACATTGCCATAACATGGTCTTGCACTATTCCGTCCAGATTATATATAAAAGTCTAACAGTCACAATGTTTAAATGAAATACTTAATACTACCGCTAGTTAAATGCAATAAAGTGTTACCTGTATGTACAACTAGTAGGTGATGTATTACTGTGTTATGTTTACTAATATTTTATGACTATATTTTTCAGAAAAGCTCTTGAACTGGATCCAAATTGTTCAGAAGCTCATGAGGGTCTTATGCAGTCATACAAAAATGACAATGATCCAGAAGCTGCTCGCAAACGTGCTATGAACGATCCGGAGATTGCTTCAATCTTGTCTGACCCAGCCATGCGCCTTATTCTAGAACAGATGTCAGATCCTGCTGCACTTCGTGAACACTTTAATAACCCAGAGATAGCATCCAAACTAATGAAGCTGATCGATGCCGGTTTGATTTCATTCCGATGAACTCTCGTTGTTGGCAGCTCTGTTCCCAGGAAAATAATTCCCCCAAAGTTTTTTTTAATTATTATTACTATTTAGGTGTTCTTGAGGGATGAAAAAGTCGAAAGTTCAAATACTTACCTTTGTCGACCATCACCTTCGAGTAAACTCTTGAGTGAGAGCCAATACTTTCTGCTCGCTTAAAGTTTGATTCACTTAAGTAATTTGAAACTACTTAATGTCCCTACTGTTTCATGTACATTTTTACAAACCCACGTTCTGAAAATACATGCGAGTAAGGTACTAGTATTGTTTTGAAATCTGTAGATCTTGATCGAACAAAATATTCATTAGGTTATAAAGGTCTTGAGTTGAAGCTAAAATGCTTGATGTCAAATGGTATTTACGAGGGACTGGTTTTTGGTGTGCGCATTAGGTAGAAAATGTCGGCATGGTATTTCGTTCGGTAAACCCTGCTTATAGTCGTCGTTCATTTACAAGATGCTCTGGCTATCCAGCTTAGGTTAGATTGATAGCTTTGGGCGACTGACTGTGATGTTTATTCGTAAAGACAGTGCGTTTTGTCCCGGTATCGCATGTAAAGACTGGGGAAGTGATTCCTCAACTATTGGATGTCCTCTTACAGTTCAAGACCAAATTGGTCAAAATCAAATCCTTCCTACACCCCCTAATATCTCTCTTATCTCTACGACTAACTCTCTACTCACAGTCCCTTTTCTCACTGCACCGCTAATGCAGACGAAGCGAGATCACGAAACGTCGTTCCTGGTCTCTTGAAACCCCGTCCTAGACTACATGTTGGAGCTTTTAATGTACGGACATTGTGTCAAATAGGGCAACAGGCATCATTAGCTAGGACTTTGGAAACTCGTGCCATCGATGTATGCTGCGTCTCGGAAACGCGCATACAAGATCCTAGTAAAATTATTAATCTGATTTCACCTTGTCAAAACGAAGAAGCAGCTCGATTTACACTTCGTGTATCCGGTAGCCCTGATGCTGCTTCCAGGGGTCTTGCTGGCGTAGGCATAGCGTTGAGTCCTAGGGCAGAACTATCTCTCCTAGACTGGATCCCAGTAGATAGTCGTTTGTGCGCTGTCCGACTAAACGAAACAGTAAGGACTCGTAAGGATAGGGACGCTCGTCGTTGCCCCTTCGTCATATCTGCCTATGCCCCCACTGACTGCAGTTCAGACGAGGTGAAAGATGAGTTTTCAGAAAGCTTTCGGACCTCCAAAAAGTTAGGCGCTCTGATATAGTAATAATGGCTGGTGACTTTAATGCTCAAGTAGGTAGACTAAGTGAGCAGGAAAGACACGTGGATGGATGTTATGGTGTAGCGACTGAGAGAACAGACAATGGCGACTGTCTGTTGCAACTTTGCTCAGATAACCGCCTATTTCTAGCAAATACCAACTTCAGGCATAAGGAAAAGCGTCTTTTGACACGGCGACCTCCAAAGTCGTCACAAGGCTGGAACCAACTAGGTTACATCAGCCACCGATGGAGGGGTTAGAAAGAGGATTGTCGCTCGTTCTGGTGCACATGTTTAGATTCAGATCATACCCTAGTGCGAGCGCGTATCTGTTTAAGGCTTACTAGGCGTGGGAAAGACACCGTAAGGAAGCCTCTTAGGGTTTTACTTATGATAATAAGGCGAAGAATATATTTCAGGAACAAATAGAAAGACAGTTAGGCGACCATTTAAGCGATTCCCATCCGGAAGTAGGTTGGAATGATATCAAAAAGGCTGTGGAAACAGCAGTGATATCTGCTAGTAAGGTAAACCATAAGGCTTGGATGAAGCCGTGGATCTCTGTAGCATCCACCGATCTGATGGATGCTCGAAAACTCATCCCGCCTTGCTCTGAGTAGCGGAGTCAGCTTAGACGTAGGCTGACAAGAAGCCTACGCAATGTTCGAGAACAGTGGTGGGTGGAGAAAGCAAAAGCGATGGAAAAGGCAGCGCCGATAGGCAACACTAGACAACTTTTCCGACTTATCAAGGAAACTGGTATTAGGAATCCTAGTGTAAGTGAGACGATCTCGGAAAATGATGGGACTATTATTTATTATCAATCCAGGAGACTGGATAGATGGGCAGAACACTTTAGGGATCAGTTCAACTGGCCTCGAGCCACTCTTCGGTTACCCACGATCTCCAGTCATTCTGAATGGCAAATCGTCGTAAGTCCCCCTAGTCTTAATGAAGTTTAGGAAGCGTTAGGAAATCTGAAGCGAGGGCGAGCTGCAGGTCCTGATAGACTGGCCACTGAGATATTTAAGGATGGTGGTACAGTTTTAGCAGCTAGGTTGACTGAGATCTTAAATAGAATCTGGGGTCTGGAAGTGATCCCATCCGACTGGTCTCAATCTATGAGAAAGGACAAAAGTCCTTGTGACAATCACAGGGGAATAATTCTAACTAATATAGTTTCTAAAATATTAGCCTCAGTAATACTTCGACGCTTAACGAAAGCTCGTGAACAGCAAACTCGAGAAAACCAGGCCGGTTTTCGACCTGGACGTGGTTGTATATACCACATCTTCACACTACGACAGGTCCTGGAACATAGACACACATGTAGGCGTCCTACAATAGTTGTTTTCCTGGACCTTTAGGCGGCACTCGACTCAGTGGATCGTGAGGTTCTGTGGCAGTGTCTGTCATTGAAAGGTGTACCAAAGAAGTACATTAACCTTATACAAGCCCTCTACTCGAACACCACTGGTCGAGTGAGAGCTTATGGCGAACTGTCACCGGAATTTTTCACTACAAGTGAACCTTATCCTCGTCTGGATTTTCAGGAGTAGACCTTTTACCTGCTGGCTCGCTTATTGACTTAGAATATGCCGATGACATTGTCCTACTTGGTGAAGACGCTGACAAAATGCAGAGTCTTCAGACCACCCTAAGCAACAATGCAAGCATGTTCGGGATGCGGTTTTCCCCCTCGAAATCCATGAAGTCACTGATCAGTGGACTGAGTCATGTTGGCAGATGTAGGCTATCTGGTTGGGGTGCGCGAGACGATAGTCACCGATGGTTAGAGACCTTAAACGACATGTCCACTTGTCAGACTCAGCCATGTCGGTAGTTGTCGATTAGCTGGTTGGGGTCCACGAGATGATAATAATCGATGGTTAGATACCCTGAATGACATGGCTCAAAACCATTTGCAATGGCGCCGGTGCATTTATTCTTTGTGTTCTTTCAAATCCTAATCTTCTGGATTCTTCAACCCCGCTAGTTTTGACTTTCTAAACTTTACTCACTCAATCATATTTCTTGGATATCTTCTAATCCTAACCTCTCTAATTACTTCAAATACCTTTACTACCTCTTCTACCATTGGATTTGAATCGACAATTATATCTCTGTGCTGATGTGGTATGGCAACATGAACTGATGTACTTACGTACGAAGTTCTACGTTGCATCTGACTGACTGACTTACAGTTCAAAGCTGAAGTTTATCTCCAAAAATAGTCTCAACGCCTGCTAACTGGCGGAAGTCCGTAGTGTTCGAAATCCTTGGTAAGGAGCCCGTAATGGTTTGTAACAAGATAATAAGAATTTCATTACAAGAAGTTAAGTCTAGACTAAGAAAAATCACGGTACACCGTGACAAAAATTGAAGGCTAGTTTCGAAGCGGAAATTAGAAGACCGTGGAATAGTATCAATAAACATTTATTATGCGGTACGAAGAGTTATATAGAGTTGAGAAATGCCCCATTCACTGAAGTATCTTGCACGCATTTAGTGAACAACGGGTATGGGTGGTACAGAAGTTTGTCCGAATAAAGCGTCAGTATCGTTCTCCCTCTGTTCGGCTGCGATCTGTCGAAGTTCGCTGACTGTATGTGAAAACATTGTCCACTCGTCTGCATGAGGAATCGCCATAGCCTAAAGAATAAGGATCAGTAAGTATTTTTTGTGAGATTGTAAGCAGACACCAATCATACGTAATCAGAACTGTATTTACTTGAAAAAGTTTTGCTATAAGGTGCTTCCTTGTTCTGTTGCTTTTATATGAGTATAATAGCTCTAGATGAAGTGCCAAACATATCGACATTCAGTCTTGCATAGATGTGCATTAGCTCAAGTTGCCACACTATACTACCACAACGGGTGGAAATAACAAGAGATTGGAATGGTACAGTTATTCGATATTCATCTAAACAATTATTAATACAAAAGGACACCTGAATATTCATGCGCGACAAATTGATGAGTAGGTTAAGGTACTGCCCAAAACCAAAACAGTCATTTATTTTGGGGAGCCCTTATGCGATCCCTTTGACTCACATGTCTGGCCTACAAGGCAGTCGAGCACCATCAGGAGATGTAGTCCCATGGTAGCAGGTGGCCAACTAAAAGTCCATATGCCATTTGTTCCTTTAAGATTCTGGAGCTTATATGTACCATCAAATTTAAATCCAGTTTTCCAACCCAGGAAAAGTGGATCCTTCGTACCCACTAATACAGTCTAAACACTAGATATTCGCTTTTTGACCCTTCGATTCGGTAAACATAACCTCCGTCATGAGAAGTCAGAGAGCATAACATCCATAGCAGTGACTGTGCATACGTGACCATGTAAGAGCATCTCGAGAGGGAGAGAGTTCATTATCCTCCCCCATGTCAGGGTGATTTGCAGCAAATGATGTAGTAACAATGATAAAAAGGAAAACCTGGGGAGCACGGTTTAAATAGACAGACTGAGAAAGTGTACAGAAAGGGACACTTGAGGTCGAGGGAAAAATAACGACTGGGTGCATCTGGACTACTGCGAACGACTCCGAGCCATGCCATTCGACGTCTACAATCACTGGTCGTGGTTACCACGCGATGTTCAACCAGGTAAACTTCATCCACCAACATGGCTCGGACGAACAGTCAATGACTTCATGAACTGGTGTAACGTTTTGGTTTCCTCCCTGAATCTCTTCAAACCTATCTTCACAACATACTAAATTTTGTACATCTATCAAGGGATAGTTCGAATATTTCAACTTAATTACAAGTTACATAATATCATTATTAAGTAACTGCAATGTACGTCACAAATTCCATCCAAACGACGACAGCTGTATTAGTTTATGCTTCTAGAAATTACTGGCCGGAAAGTTACCATCTCCAAATCCTGGCAACTTATTTGAAATCAGCACCCCAATTCAGAGCACAGATACACAGTTACAAGTGTAGGTTTATCGATAAACCCATGGCGCCTAAATCTCTACTTAAAAAATATATTAGGCACCTAAATTGTGATTTTTTGACGTCGACAAGTATGTTTATTCCAGAACATAGCAAGTACGCTCATCACGAAACAGGTCTCGAATATTCAGGAGCCTGATAATATGAGACAATACAACAATTAAACTAATTTCTGCTATTTCCTAAACTAAAGTCCTCATGACCAAGAGTGGTATAAAAAGATTTTAAAGTTAGTACACCAAATATTGTAACAATACTTATCGGAGGATGTAGCATGGCTATTAAGTATATCATATAGGTTTATTTATTTATTTATATAAGAGAATTGTAGCGGTATTACGGATTGCAATTTATAATATTGCAGAATAACTATCAAGTACTGAATTCACTTACTTCATTCAAATCAAACATATGAATGCGCCCATTGTCATCACCGATAGCTATATGTGAACCAGACGAGTGGAAACGACATTTGTTTAAAGACGGTTGACCGGGAATCATTGTACGAACTGATGGAACCTGTACAGAAATAGGGAAATCTTATGATTTAGGAACAAATAATTGATACATAATATATATATATATATATATATATATATATATATATATATATATATATATATAGTTTGTGGTCTCCAATTTAACCACTAAGTCGTGAGCGTGAAACCCTCTGATTAATAGCCAACACTCAACAAATATAGTCCATACATAACCTCATTATGAACGAGTATGACAACTCTTAAGCTATATATATATATATATATATATATATATATATAGACTGAATTTTCGAATTAGATTTTATTACATTTCAAATGTGGTCTTAGAACAAAGTTAATTATCGAATGCTTAGTTACAGAAAATTAAGAGTGGTCGAACATCAGTTTCGGTAAGCTGAGGCATTTATCGACAAAGCAAATCAATAATGTATTTCGAAACGACAATATCAAAAGATAATTGACGTCAAACTGAGATCCCATTAACTATCAGTAGCAGCTTCATTACTATTAAGTTACACATTCACAAATTCACTATCTTACATATCTCTCCCACAAGCTACTCTCTCCATTCTTGTTTAACTTTGTCGTTAACATGCTTTTAGCGACAACATTATCATCGTCTGAATTTTCAGAAGTGGACCCTGTACCAGGAGACACACTTGTTGACTTAGAATATGACGATGATATGGTTCTATTTGGTGAGAACGGAGACAAAATGCAGTCATCTGGACACCTCAAGCAACAATGCAAGCATGTTCAGGATGCGATTCTCCACTTCGGAATAAGAAATGTTGCTTCAGGATAGGCTGGCGTCGGCACCTGAACTAGTGACAGGGTGATACTGATGGTTCAGCGCTTTGACCGCTTCACTTATCTTGGGAGTCTTGTCAGAGCTGATGGTCTGGTGACTGACGAAGTCTCAGCACGGATAAAGAAAGCTTGACTGGCTTTTGCCAACTTGCGTCACTTATGGCGTCGGCAAGATATCCGTCACTAACCAAAGAACGAGTCTCCTGCGTAGCAGTTCACTCCGTCCTACTAAATGGAAGAGAAACATGGCCCGTAAGAGATCTACGAAAGCTATCATCCAGAAGATACAAATATTCATTAACAGTTGTCTACGCAAAATACTTTGGATCCGTTGGCCAGACACAATCAGCAAAAACCTACTGTGGGAGAGAACAAACCAGATTCCAGTGGAGGAGGAAATTAGGAAGAAGCGCTGGAGGAGGATAGGACACTAATTGTGGAAAGCACCTAACTGCGTCACAAGACAAGCCCTCACTTGGAACCCTCAAGTTCGAAGGAAAAGAGGAAGGTCAAGGAACAAATTACACTGAGAAATGGAGACAGGCATGAGAAGAATGAACAGAAACTGAACGAAACTGGAAAGGTAGGCCCAGGACAGAGTAGGTTGAAGAATACTGGTCGGTAGCCTATGCTCCACCTAGTGTTACAGTGGTAAGTAAGTAGGTGAATCCACTCTTTATGTTCTCTGAAATTCTAATCTTCTGAATTCATCATCTGTTTCTAAAGTTACGTCATTGAATTATACTTCTTGAGTAATATCTTAGAACCCTAATCTTCTCCATTACCAGTAATACTTCTACTATCTCTACCATTATAGAATTTGAAGTGATAATTGCGTCTCTGTGCTAATGCGGTATGGCGACCTGAACTGATGTTCGTACGTACGAAGTTCTACGTCGTAAGTGACTGACTGACTCCTACAAACTACATAGAGGATGATTATTTGATAACGAAGCAAAGCATGTACATTCAGGTAGTCAAAATATGTACTGTTTGATACACAAACACTCAAGCAAACTCCTTAGTGTGTCACAAAACATTAATTTCTAAGGAACCTATTTAAATCCTCTTCCAAAACAGAATAAATGGCTCAACTTTCATGAGATATATATTCTGTAAATATGAAGTATACTGTAATCAGGTTAAAGATGTACAGTTTGTGTTAGTTTTTTGTTAACGTTGAGTTCAATTAGAGGTGTTGATGATGATATATAGAATGAAAATAAAAGCCTTCAGCCAGTCAGTCAGATGCAACGTAGAACTTCGTACGTAAGTACATCAGTTCATGTTGCCATACCACATCAGCACAGAGATGTAATTGTCAATTCAAATCCAATAGTAGTAGAGGTAGTAAGGGAATTAGAAGTAATCCGAGAGGTTAGGGTTAGAAGATACTATTCAAGAAGTATGATTCAGTGAGATAAGTTTAGAAAGTCGAAACTAGAGGTGTTGAAGAATCTAGAAGATTAGGATTTGAGAGAACACAAAGAATAAATACACCGGCGCCATTGCGAACGATTTTGAGCCATGTCATTCAAGGTCTCTAACCATCGATTATTATCATCTCGCGGACACCAACCAGCTAGTCTACAATTACCGACATGGCTGAGTCCACTCGTCAATGACTTCATGGATTTCTGCCAAGTTTTGGTTTGGCCGCCCCTCACTTTCTTCCAACCTATTCCTACACTACAAAACAAAGCTCGTCGAGGCAGTCGGTGGTTCGGCATACGCAACATATGTCCCAACCACCTCAACTGATGAAGTATCAGCACTTCGTCTATTGATCTGCCATTCTTACCTAGCACCCGATTCCTAATAACAGCGTTGCTCACTCGGGTGTCCCACGATATACGAGCAATGCATCGAAGAGACCTATGATCGAAAACCAGTAACCTACGAATATCTTCTACTCTCACTGGCCATGTTTCACAGCCATAAAGTAAGACGGAGCTAACTGCTGCGCAGTACACTCGTCCTTTAGTCAGCAAACGGATATCTCGCCTACGCCATAAGTGACGCAGGTTGGCAAAAGCCAATCGAGCCTTCTGTATCCGAGCTGAGATTTCGTCAGTCACCAGGCCATCGGCACTGATGAGACTCCCCAGATAAGTGAAGCGGTCTACACGTTCGACTACTTCACTCCCTATCACTGGTTTAGGTCCCGATGCAACCCAGTCTTGAAGCAACATTTTGCATTTTGAGTGGGAAACCGCATCTTGAACATGCTTGCATTGTTGCTTAGGGTGGTCTGAAGACTCTGCATTTTGTCAGCGTCTTCACCAAGTAGGACAATGTCATCAGCATATTCTAAGTCAACAAGCGAGCCACCTGGTAGAAGGTCTACTCCTGAAAATCCAGACGAGGATAAGGTTATTTCTAGCAGCATGTCTATGATAAAATTAAACAAGAATGGGGAAAGTGGACATCCCTGACGGACACCACTTGATGTAGAGAATTCCGGTGACAGTTCGCATTAAGCTCTCACTCGACCAGTGGTGTTCGAGTAGAGGGCTTGTATAAGGTTAACGTACTTCTTTGGTACACCATTTGATGATAGACACTGCCACAGAACCTCACGATCCACTGAGTCAAATGCCGCCTTAAGGTACAGGAAAACAACTATTGTAGGACGCCTAAATGTGTGTCTATGTTCCAGGACCTGTCGTAGTGTGAAGATGTGGTATATACAACCACGTCCAGGTCGAAAACCAGACTGGTTTTCTCGAGTCTGCTCTTCACGAGCTTTCGTTAAGCGTCGAAGTATTATTGAGGCCAATATTTTAGATACTATATTAGTTAGACTTATTCCCCTGTGATTGTCACAAGGACTTTTGTCCTTTCTTATAGATTGGGACAATCAGTGATTGAGACCAGTCGGATGGGATCACTTCCAGATCCCAGATTCTACCTAAGACCTCAGTCAACCTAGCTGCTAAAATAGAACAACCATCCTTAAATATCTCAGTGGTCAGTCTATCAGGTCCTGCAGCTCGTCCTCGTTTCAGATTTCCTAACGCTTTCTCAACGTCATTAAGACTAGGGGTACTTAGGTCGATTTGCCATTCAGGATGACTGGAGATCGTGGATAACCGAAGAGTGGCTTGAGGCCAATTAAACTGATCACTAAAGTGTTCTGCTCATGGATCCAATCTCCTGGATTGAGAATGGATAATATGACCATCCTTTTCCGAGATGGTCTCACTCACATTCGGGTTCTTAATACCAGTTTCTTTAATAAGGCGGAAAAGTTGTCTAGTGTTGCCTATCGCCGCTGCCTTTTCCATCGCTTTTGCTTTCGCCACCCACCACTGTTCGCGGTCGTTACGCAGACTTTTTATAAGTCTGCGCCTAAGCTGACTACGCTCTTCATCATGCTCAGAGTCAGGTGGGATGCGTTTTCGAGCATCCATCAGATCGGTGGATGCTACAGAGATCCACGGCTTCATCCAAGCCTTATGGTTTACCTTACTAGCAGATATCACTGCTGTTTCCACAGCCTTTTTGATATCATACCAACCTGCTTCTAGATGGGAATCACTTACATCGTTGCTTAACTCTCTTTCTAGTTACTCCTGAAATATTTTCTTAGTTTGATTATCATTACGTAAAACCCTAAGAGGCTTCCTTACGGTGTCTTTCCCACGCCTAGTAAGCCTTTAACAGATACGCGCTCGCACTAGGGTATGATCTGAATCTAAACATGTGCACCAGAACGAGCGACGGTCCTCTTTCGAACCCCTCCATCGGTGGCTGACGGCGATGTGATCTAGTTGAGTCCAACGTTGAGACGACTTCGGGGGTCGCCAGGTCAACAGATGCTTTTCCTTATGCCTAAAGTTGGTATTTGCTAGAAATAGGCGGTTATCTGAGCATAGCTGCAACAGACAGTCGCCATTGTCTGTTCTCTCAGTCGCTACACCATAACATCCACCTAGATGTCTTTCCTTTTCACCTAGTCTACCTACTTGAGCATTAAAGTCACCAGCCATTATTACTATATCAGAGCGCCTAACTTTTTGGAGGAGGTCCGAAAGCTTTCTGTAAAACTCATCTTTAACCTCGTCTGCACTGCAGTCAGTGGGGGCATAGGCAGATATGACGAAGAGGCAACGGCGAGTGTCCCTATCCTTACGAGTCCTTACTGTTTCGTTTAGTCGGACAGCGCACAAACGACTATCTACTGGGATCCAGTCTAGGAGAGATAGTTCTGCCCTAGGACTCAACGCTATGCCTACGCCAGCAAGACCCCTGGAAGCAGCATCAGGGCTACCGGATACACGAAGTGTAAATCGAGCTGCTTCTTCGTTTTGACAAGGTGGAATCAGGTTAATGACTTTACTAGGATCTTGTATGCGCGTTTCCGAGACGCAGCATACATCGATGGCACGAGTTTCCAAAGTCCTAGCTAATGATGCCTGTTGCCCTATTTGACACAATGTCCGTACATTAAAAGCTCCAACATGTAGTCTAGGACGGGGTTTCGAGAGACCAGGAACGACGTTTCGTGATCTCGCTTCGTCTGCATTAGCGGTGCAGTGAGAAAAGGGACTGTGAGTAGAGAGTTAGTCGTAGAGATAAGAGAGATATTAGGGGGTGTAGGAAGGATTTGAATTTGACCAATTTGGTCTCGCGTGCTGTTACGGGTTTGCGAACAATTGTCCATCTGAGAAAATTCAACTCGTAAATGTGAAGTACATTCAAACTGATTTCCAGATTATTCATGGATAACGAACAGGTAGACAGATATCTTACGACTAATAATATATTATTTAGGAAGAAGCATATAATTCTCAAATGTATTTACAGCTTTTAACTGAGTATTGCAGTCACGTTTAAAATTAGCATTAAATCAAGACATACTTGTGACATTCTAAGGTGTGTAGAATGATGCGAATGTTAAGATTTAAGCCAGTATAACAATAAACATCAGACAGCATAAATTAAAATACATCATAGTTCCACTCTCATTATCCTTCCATATTCTTGATGCTCAATAGTCTTTGACAAATATATTTTCACTTAATTTCTCCTTTGTCTACTACTATGCAAAAGTTGGTACGATTATTTTCAGAAAGTTGAATTCTCACTTTTTTGATTTGCTTTTTACCATAATCAAATAAATCGGATCAATTCTAATCACAAAAGTTGAAAAGTTTTATTCCTGCTATGAAATATGTAATGGTTTTATTCTGATTAAATTTCTGACATTATTGAGTAAAAAGACTGATTATGTATAGAACTGTATCAGTAGATAAATAATCACTAGTTAAATTCATACGCAAATAAACAGGTAAAAAAATATAAACAAAATTAATCAATTACAAATAAGTAAACAGATGTAGTCTATTTTAAGCTGCTGAAGGAATACTTGGGAGGAAAACTTGCCGATTGCATGTAATCCTCCATTATTTTAACATAGTGTGATGTTGAGTCACTTAGACTAGTGTGGGCACAAAACAACTTGGTCGACAAGTTTCGATGAACACTAAGGATATTGATTACAACTCAGTGATCAATCAATATACAGACAGTTTATTTACGTTGTTACTATCTATAATTTTCCTTCCATTGATGAAAATATCTGCCTAAATTGAGTTCCATTGCTTTTTTGAAAAAAAAAGAATATCACTTTATAAATTGGTGACCGGAATTATAAGCGTTCAATATGAAAATGCATCATTCTTCCTCATCATTCTAATTGTTTGTATCATTTATGTTAATTGTCCCCCAATAAAGCATTTCATAACCGCTAAGTAAAGTTTATTGTGTTACCATCTTTAAGACAGTTAATTCGCTCAGTATTTTAAATAGAGTCCAGAAAAATCTTAACAAATATATCATATCAACTAAGTGTACTAATTTATGTCTACTTATCAAACTACATTAAGAGAACACAAAGAAAATATCATCTTTGAATAGCCTAAACATGTTGCCTAATTGTGATGTCTTGGTTGATGAATCACTTTTGATAATACAACTGTTTAATGCTTGATTAATACAAAGATGTGATAATCTTAACTAGTAAACAACAAGACAAGTCCTCTATAGCGTACTGAATACATTAAACTTCTGAAGTAAAAAAACAGTAATTATTATTGTAACTGTTTTCTTTATCGTAACCGGCTTTTAAACTATACAGCCTTTCATTTAATGACATAATTTGTTTAAAATAAACTTTTTTAATTCACTGATTTTAACCATCTGAGCTTGATGGATTTCACCGGGTATTTGTTAAACGTCACTATCTAGTTAAAATTACCTCTCTTTAATTCAAGCGACCTTGAGGAGCCAAAGTAACAATGGGCATTCTGTACCTGAACAGCACGAAGCGTTCCTCTGTATTGTATGCTGCCTTGATTTTCTAATTTACGTGCGTTTTTACCCACTGAATAATGTGTAAAACATTATAATAGATGGATCACTTGAATTATTTTTTTTTACTATATTCTGTAGCTACATAAAATGTCCTTGTAATTTTGGTGTATCCTACCAATGGGTTACAGTAGTACTACTGCACCAATTAATTGCAATATGGCTTCTATAGAGCTAGGAGTTCTTTCACGACAGCGACTGCCTGATCAAAGGTTTTTAAATTGGAAAGAATTCAAATGTTTCTCTACCTATTTCTATTGAGTAAGTGAAGCAGGAATCTTACAAGTGAGGATGACGTGCACTCATTACATTCATCAGTGAAATAAAGTAATTCGTTGTGAAAGTTGGAAGTGTTTACATGATGCTTTTAAATGCGAATTCGGTGTTGAGAAACACCCTTAAAATGCTGGACTAATAAAAATCGTGGGACTGAGTAATTATGTTGGCAGAAATATTCTGGTTGTGAGTCTGTAAGTTGCTTTACAAACTAGTAGGTATACGGTTTGTTTTTTCAAATTGGTGCAAAACTATTCATGTTTCGCAGGAGTTATGTGTGATCCGTTGATTAGAAAATTATTAGATGTAGAGAAGGAAAATGCAGCTCCTTCACAACAAAAACGTCGAATATATGAACGGCATTCACAGTGTGCATTAAGTCATTGCCGGATGTTTTCGTGGATTTTAGGTGCTATCATGGTGTTTGTTGAAGTCGTTAGAAATAAGCAAATGCGGTAATTTACTTGCTGAAACTTTAGTTTCTAGAGTGTAATAGCTGGTTGAAAGCTTTTCAAACATACTAACGACTAATAATAATAATAATAATAATAATAATAATAATAATAATAATAATAATGTGTTTAATCATATAGTCTAGTATACACAAATTCATTAGTAATTACTGGATTGCGTAATTAGGAAATAGCATGTAGGTTAATTTAATGAAACACGGATATAGTCTAAGGAACCAAAATGAACTATAAGAAGTTGAACCGTTGTCACTTCTCAGATCAATTCTACTTTTTATACAGTACAGAACGATGAGATATATAAAATTTGAAGGAAGATAGAGTGGATACATTCCTGAAATTATCAGACACTGTCAATTACCGGAAATCTAAAATCATCAATTATAAACCTGTTTTGTGAACTTCAATTCGAACACTGGAATCTCCATATAAAATTTACATTAATGTATTCATGAATTAAGGACATACTTTCGAGTGGCTAACTTGAACCTTTCTCTACCGTAGTCACATACTAACCGCCAGATCTTTTCAAGAAAGGTATTGTGTTTGGTATGAGTAATACATGTTCTAACCATTACAGCTAACAAAGATTTAAAAAATCAACTTTTTGTTGACTATTGTAATAAGTGTAACATTACTGTTGTCTACTCAGCAGTTCCAACAATGCTCAAAAGATGATAATGAACATAGGCATATAATCTATTCTTAAATAGAGTTATGCTGAGACTGATTTGTTTATTTCTTGAATACGTTTTCAGTCATATATATATATATATATATATATATATATATATATATATATAATTGAACCATTCTTGTTAATTAGGCGGTTACGTAAACGGTGGAACAATCTAAACTTAAAGCTTCATCCTTAAAAAAGTGAGTGTGTTTAAAAAAATCTTATTCATTATGATTCCCTTAGGTATACATATGTTTTAGGAAATTCTAAATACGTACGGCTTAGATATAAGTAATTCGTCAGTTCCTTACTTAATACTATTATATAACCAAAAAGAATGACTGACCAAATAGGGTGGGACAAAGACACTTATTGATAGCTTTAATTAATTGGGTTAAAAAAATTTTATCAAGACAGAATTAGTCTGCTTAAGGTAAGAAATAATATCTTTAGGAATAGTTCAAGAAATGAAACAATATCGAAAACTTACTTCGCTGTTTTGGTTTAAATTCCATAAATCAAGGCGTCCTGTGCAATCGACAGTTGCAAATACAGCTGGATGTATGGGCGACCAATGAGCATCGAAAACATAATCTGAAGCTTCTTCAAATGAGCATATAAGACGAGTTTCCTTAACAGACCAAAGTTTTACAGACCAATCAAGAGAAGTAGTAAGAAACAGGGGTGAAATCGTCACAGAGTCTCTGAGTGGATGGGACGAAATTGATGTGATAGGAGCCTGATGACCTTCAAAAGCATCACTGATACCTGCTTGACTAAAAAAGAGACACAATGTATCACAACACAGATTAACAAGATGTATAATCTGTAATTCATTCCGTATGTACGATCATAACTCATGATTATTAAAAAAAACTACTCATCTGAATTCCATCAAATTATAGTTCATTTAATCGATCACTTAATTGTGATTCAGCGAAAACTACAATCCAAAAATACGAGAACTTCAAAGATGAAAAGCATAAAATTATGCTACAAAACTAAGGAACGTTTGTCTTTAGTACAAGCTAAAAGAATAAAGTCATATACAACAGCTGACTTAAGCAACTAAACAACTGCAACTCTTGTAGGTTTGTTGATAAAAAGTATGCGGCTGATACATCAGCTTAGGTTACAATCAAATCTTATTATATGCGTAGAACATAGAAACCTCTACTTAAATCATATTGCCCTAGAAAATTTCAATTAACTAGTCTCTATCAAAACTTTTCTTTGAAATATTCAAGTAAAATTAACAACACTACCACAGTTTTCCGTCTATTCATATGTTTTCATTCATTTTTAGGTAACAATGTTTGACAAAACCATTTTACAGACAACAGCCTACGAGATAAGTATCGATATGTACTACAATACAAAGTAAAAAAATGGCAAACAAGATATTGTAATGCTGCCAAAAATATTATCATAATGAAATATCATGATATGTAGTCCTCTAAAATAATATGGATCATAAATGAGTCAGATAGATGAAGAGCTTTAGGTAGAATATACAGGATACACATTTTAAGAATTTACTCCATTATCATCGTGGATAAATACAATATTATTAATGTTGTTATTATTATCATACGTATAGATTTGATGAAACAACGAAACATTAAAAAAGCATACTCAATAAATTTCACCTATCTAAAACACAATGTTGATTCATCAAATAATAGAAAAGATGAGGTGAAATAAAATGGTTACTTACAATCACTAAACCTAAGCAGAAAGTTTACACTATATTAGTTATTGCTATAAAAAATGAAAAAAACCTTCACTCTGCCCTAACAGTTGGAAGGTCTTCATTTAGAAGAGTTATGATGCCTCAGGATGAAAACCGAATTTCTTCGAGAGTCATAAGGATGATGCTCCTTCTCAAAACCATACCAACAATCAATATACCTACATGTTTACATAAAGTCGGAGACCGGAAAAACCATTCAAGTTACTGCAAAAATAAAACGATACAACCTGGTGCTACTTGGAATAGGTGAAACACATTGGATGCACGTTGGACAAATAAGACTAGCTTCACGACAGCTGCTGTTATACTCCAACCATGAAGAAAATTTCTCACATACACAATAAGTTGCACTGATGCTGTGCAAACAAGCACAAAAAGCACTTATAGGGTGAGAATCTCATGGAACCAGGATCATCAAATCATGCTTCAAAGCAAAGAAAAATGGGATGACAATGGACGTCATCCAGTGCTATTCGCCTACCAACGAAAATAATCAGGACGTCAAAGATCGATTCTATGAGAGGCTATAGTCAACCAAAGAGAAATGTTCAGCAAACGATTTGACCATTCTGGCACGAGAACTTAACGCCAAGGTTGGTGTGGAAAACAACGCATATGAAGACATCATGGGACGTCATGAACTGGGAGAAAGGAAAGAAAAAGGTGGGAGATTTGCATACCTATGTGTCTTCAACAAACTGGTTATAGGCGGCACCATATTACCACATAAACGCATACACAAAGCTACATGGATTTCACCCGATCATACCACACAGCACGAAATCGACCATTTCTGAATCAATAAAAAGTTCAGAACGACGATGGAGGACGTGAGAACCAAGAGAGGAGCTGATCTAGCCTCAGGTCATCATTTATTGGTAGCCAAAATGAACATAAAACTAAAGAAGCACTGGACGACGGGGGGAACAGCATCACGAAAGTTTAATACTGTCTTTTTTCAGGATACTGATAAACTCAAAGAATTCAAGATAGCCATCAGCAATAGGTTCCACGACGTTCACGACATACTCAATGGAGAGAGAAACACTATGAAGAGGAAGACCTAAGTACACGTTACACCGAGAATCGGAAGTAGTCATGGGAAGAATGAACAGAAATTAGGTATAATTGGAAAGGAAGGCTCAGGAAAGAGAAGTTAGAGAATGCTTGTTGGATGTCTATGCTTCATTAGGAGTAACAGGTTCACGTAAGCAAGTAAGTAAGTTCCAGTTACAATATGCATTTCTTTTATATAATCCATAGAAATTATAAAGAAAAATTCAACTTACTTTCCATGACGTGAACCTGCATAAGCTCGTCCATCTTCTGATCCAACTAAAAAGTTGTTAACATTTTCATCAACAAATGACATGCATGTTGCAGCTACAGTACGAGCTTGTCTATGTGTTAATTCCATGGCTTGTTGAGGCTGACCCAACATATCTAAACTCCATGTACATAATTTTCCATCAGAACTTATACTTAATAAATTGTGTGCATTCAATGATCCTGCGATCATAACTGCATGAACTGGATGTGTATGTGCACTTGCCGACAATGGTGTCCGCTGTACTGGTGTTCTCTTGGTTGATCTAAGATATTAATTAGAAAACAAATCGATGTAAGGTGTTACATTGACTAACGAAAACTGGTGGTGAAAATGAAGTAATGATAAGATTCTCTCCATTTCCCACGATGTCATATAATCTCCAGTCAGAAGACAATACACTGACTGATTTGTCAGATTCACATGCTAAATCAGATGTACACCAACTATAAATACGTAAATTTGTGGATCAGGGAATACAACCCACACAAGCCATCAAGTATTTATACAGTGATAGTAACAACTCGGATCACAGAACTGGTTCATTTATACAACAAAAGATCAAAAGTAAAAAGTTAAATTAAAATGGAAGTGAAATTGAAATGAACAAATAGCTCAATTTGTATATGCGTCAAATCATCATACAAACAGGAGATAGCCAGATACATAAAGTGAACTAAGAGGAAGTTGAATTTCAAAATATCTGAGACGGTAGTGTTGTAAAATAATGAAATCTACTAAATAACTGTCTCTATCATACAAGAATGCATGACAGTGAGTGTTAATATAATCTAAACAGAAAACTGAATACGGATAGTAGTGACTGTTAAAACATGCGTTGGACACTATTAGCTACAGTAGTCACACTAAAACACTGTACACCACATGCAACTGGATTTGGATTCACATCATCCGTCAAAGACCAATACTCTAACACGGGTTTAAATATTGCTGTTCTAACATTAAATCGAAATAAATAGTAACTGGCATGGGAAGCTACGATTTCTCTATTCAAATATAGCTAATCCTGTAACCAAGTGAATTATCTTAATCATGCACCTAGAACACGTGTCGTAGTGGTAGTTTACGACTTGAATATGTTGATTATTTAAGCAATGAGAACAGCCACTGCTTCGAACAGTACAGACTTCTTAATGAACAGTTCCATAACTTGGGTCATCTGAAGTTTTATGAAACTTACGACACAGTAGTCACCGATGTGCCCTGTGGTAAATTTTCGTTGTAAGACAAGTTCGGGTTGAAAAAAGGCAAATTGAAAGTGCCTACAGAAAACGAGGGTATGTACGAAACCAATACCTCTTTTAAAATAGCTGGATTATTTACAAGTGTAAAAAAAATAGACTGTTTCGTAATTCAGGGATAAAGTCCTTCATGATTTCTAAAAGGACCTATATAGTATATACGGCGAATTTCTAGGTCATCAAACACATCAGTTGCACTCTAAATACAAGTTTCCGTCAGATTGCGCGAAACATTTGCAACCATGCATGAATAGTCAATGAGTAGTTGACCATTATAACAAAGCCATGGAATATAAAAATATTCTAAAAGGAGATAATGACAAGTAAGAAAATATGCACTTACCTATTATCCCACAATACAATTTGTCCAGAATACGTTCCACCAATAATCAAATTTGGATGATAAGTTGCAAAAGTTGCTGATGTAACAGCAGACTGACAATGAAAAATATATTCTGGAGTTGTCTTTTGAAATTTCAAATTCCAAATTAAACACACTCCATCAGGATCATGCGGTGCTTCATCGTTTGCATGATAGGCGCCAAGAAGTAATTCAGGGAAAATAGGTGACCAATCCAATGCCGTAACTAGGCGTCTTCTTGACCAACGATCATCAAAAAAGTCACGACCAAATCTTACAAGTTGATGGCGTTGGGTATTTCTAAAATAAATTTAAAACCGAAAGTAGGCTCTAATTATCATGTGAAGTAAAAAACGAATACAATTCATTGACCATATAAGGACGGATACCTTGAAATATAAACAACGCTTAGTGTGTGAGGAGCAACAATATCAACCGGTTGTCCAAAACTTGATACGTAAGGTGGATGACAAATTCAAATGATTAGATCATCGGGATGTAAATCATAACGACGGTAATAGAACAACTGTAAGCTACAACAATCCAATGAAAATCAATCACCCGTAAGTTAAATTCAAAGCCAAAGCTATATAACTACAGCACTGTGTAACCAAAAAATAAGCCAAACACTATGTTTAAATGTTTAGTAAAAAACCACTACCAAATACCAAAAGCAGCCGAATGACGTCCGTGCTTAACAGTGTACACTAGTGATAGAATGGATTGCAAAATGTGAAGAATTTATGAAATAATACAAGAAAATTAAATATGATTATCCATGATGATCAGTAGTTAGTATCACACAACTTGTTATGTGATATTTGAATGCCAAAACGAGCTCCAACTAGTCCACTTTTTAGCATCTAAGGACTGTTATTGTATATTCCGACAGTAGCTGCTACCCTGAGGTGGTCGTGATGACACAACCGAGCTATATGGGCTGGAACATATGTTCCTGAGGGTTCTACCATGCCAGGCAGGTCGACTGTAGAACGATGAGACGAAGAGCAGCTAATCAAGGCCTGAGGGCGAAGTCGTAATGCTGACTGCAGAGGGTTGTGACAGTAGTAGGGCGTTTCCCTCGGACAATCAGCATCTGCAGCGATGCTGCCTTCTCACAAGGAAGGAAGGGTTAGGCCCTAAAAATGTCACACCTCACGGATTTCCATCTCCGGTGGTAAGGCCTTTTAAACAAGAGTGAAGTTAACATTTTAAAGACTTCCCATAAACAGGCCGTGCGTGACCGTCCTCAAGCAGTTGTCTCTTGGGCTCTGTGGTCTCGCGCTCGGGTCTCTAAAACCAACGCTTATCTGCTTTCCTCTTCAGGGTCCTAAAGAAGTATCCTATCACAATGTGGGCAGCCGGGAGGTGAAAACCGCCCTCACGCCCGTAAAAGCGCACGAGGCAAAATCGGTCACAACTAAATTCCTTCTACACCTCCTATTAACTCTCTTATCTCCATGACCAACCATTCTTTCGTCCGATTGTCACCTCGCGCCACTGATGCAAACATTTTGAGTTTACGAAGCGTTATTCCTGGTCTCCTGAGACCCCACTATAAACTACACGTTCGGGATTTTATTGCTCGAGCCTTGCGTTAAATTGAGCAAAAGGCCTCCTTAACTAGGGACTCTGGACTCCCGTGCCACCGACGTGGCACGTAGAACTTCGTACGTAAGTACATCAGTTCATGTTGTCATACCGCACCAGCACAGAGATATAATTGTCAATTCAAATCCAATAGTAGAAGAGGTAGTAAAGGTATTAGAAGTAATCGGAGAGGTTAGGATTAGAAGAGCATCCGAGTAGAATCATTAATTTGATCTCACCTTGTCCACATAAAAAACCAACTAGGTTTAAGCTTCATGTATATGGAAGCGTTGCTGCTGCTTCACGTTCCCTCACTGGTGTTGCCATAGCATTAGGTACGAAGGTAGAACAAGCTCTCTTGGACTGGATCCTGGCAGATATCCGCCCATGAGCTGTCCGACTAAACAGGACAGTAACGATCCTTAAAGCTACGGAAACTCACCGTTGCCTCTTTGGAGTTTCCCACTGACTGCAGCTCCGACGAGATAAAAGGCAAGTTTTGCATAAGCCTTTCCAGCCTGTTTCAAATCGTTAAGCGCCCTGATATATTAATAATGGCTGGTGACTTTCATGCTCAATTAGAGACCAAGTGAAACACCTGGGTGGGTGTTATGGTGTCCTGGCTTAAAGATCAGATAATGGAAACCGCGAAGAGCAGATGCGAGAAAACCAGGCTGGTTCCAGACCTGGACGTGGATGTACAGGCCATATATTCACACTTCGATAGGTCTTAGAACACAGAAACACATTTTAACGTCCGATAACAGTTGTATTCTTGAACCTCAAGGCGGCATTTGACTCTATCGATCGTGAGGTTCTATGTCAGTGTCTGTCACCGAAAGGTGTACCGAAGAAGTACATCAACCTTGTACTAATTCTCTGCTCGAACACTACTGATCGAGTGAGAGCTTATAGCGAACTGTCATCGGAATGGATTACTTTAAACGGTGTTCGTCAAGGCTGTCCACACACTCCATTCTTGTTCAACTTTGTCATAAACATGCTTCAGGAGATAACACTATCCTCGTCTGAATTTTCAGGAGTGGACCTTCTACCAGAAGACCCGCCAATGACATTGTACTACTAGATGATAACGCAGACAAAACAGTCTATATTTGATGTAGTTTAAGTGACTTATACATGAATAGCTGTTTTAACCATTAATTCGGACTGTGGCTGCAGAACGTACTGAGAATATATATGGAAGAGCATCCTTCGTTTATTAACCTATGCTCTATGACAGAATAGAAAACTCGAAAAATTAAATAGTTTGAGGGTAGATTTCATCATGAGCTTTCATCAGCCGCAGAACAATGGGAAACTATGAATGACCGAAGTGACGTTTAGCCATTCAATAGTTTTCACCTTCAAATCAAGAGACTCCAGTTCTGTCGGAAATAGTTCGAAATTCAAATCACAGTTGACATCTAGTGGTTCGCATTGCTAACTCCATACAGCTAACCTTACAAAATTTAGAAACTAACTGTTCTTATATTTTACTGAATTAATGAATTGTAACTACTCATAAGATGCATAGTAGTAGACTTTATTAATAATGATGGAAGAATTTTCACAAAATTTTGAATGAAATTTTCATATTACTCCACATCTTTTTTAATTAATTACGGCAAAAAATCTAAGTTAGCTTAAATGACAAGAATAATTTAAATTCAAAGAAATTACGGTTTTTATCGAGTAGTCATTAATTTAATCCATTATGTTAAATAAATTCAGGTTAATTTATAGAATAACAGAACGATAACATGATTACTTTCTTCTTTCATGATAAAGTCACTTATCTTACCACTATTGTTTGTAACCAAGTATTTACTATATTAGATACTGTCTAGACTTGACAGATATTAGTGTCCAGTATTATCACGCCTACCTAGGTTATACTGGCTTTCGGACAAACAAATTAAATTATTCTTCTCAGGTCATAATCCACACATTTTTACCATATCAGTTATGCGCTAGTAACCTTGAGTGCTTTTATTTGAGCTGGTGTTTACCGCTTACTCTATTCATCACGTCTTTAACTTACTTTTGTTGATATTCACTTTTGCACACACTTGCTTTATCTGCTTTGCTTAGCACTCCTGATTCTCACCTTCATGTCTGCTAATACTTCTATTTCTATGATACTTGAATTGAAAATTGCGTCTCTGTGTTAATGTGGTATGGCAACTTGAACTGATGTACATAAGTACGAAGTTTTGCGTCGTAACTGACTGACTGATTATTGTATGTTCAGCAGTTAATGAAAGATAACTTACAACCCAATGCAAGAATCTGCACATAATAGCAAAGCTACACTGCACTTCATTTCCCTTATCTTAACCAATAATAAAGCACTTTATGGAGTAGCATTATATGATGATTTCGATAGTATTTCGTCATAAAACTAATTCGAAAAACATACTACTTGCACTAATTGTCTCCATTATTGCCTACTTTACTGCGATTATTCAGTTGTTTCAAATTGACTTACTTATATAAACATTACCATTGGTACAAAGAGGCACCTAAATATTTATGCGCGACACAAATTATTGAATTTTTGAGTGGGTTAAGGTACTGTCCAGGGGCCCAAACCAAAACAGTTAGTTATCTTGGATGGCCATTAAGCGACCCCTTGACCCACACGTCTGATCCACAAGGCAGTTGAGCATCATCAGGAGATATAGTCCCATGGTAGCAGGTGGCCAACTATAAGTTCATATGCCATTTGTTTCTTCGGGATTCTGGAGCCTATGTGCACCACTATATTGAAATCCAGCTTTTCCAACCCACTAATACAGTCTAAACACTGGTTATTCGCTTTTTGACCCTTCGATTCGGTAAACATCGCCTCCGTCACGAGGTTGTGAGTACGACTTGAGGATTATAATTCAATAACTTTCCACTTATATGCCAGATAACTAAATTGCTCATAAAAATAAAACCACGAATGTGTAAAAAAAATGTTATGAGATACTTGCTGAAGGAAAACACTTTCAGAACATCGGTAGGTGAACAGAAGTACAAATCCTTGAACCAATGTTTGAAGGGCGGGTGTCTAAGACGTAGTCATGGCTTCACTTTGTGTAGCTTTTAATTAAACATGGTGTATCCGTAACTGTTCATCAATATCACGTGACAAATACAAAATACCAACCAGAATTATGCCTTGGTAGCAGAAATCTTGACTCAGCGCTAAATTTTTATTAGTTCATAACTCGATAACTTCCTTCTTCCCACTCTGCCTCTTAGCTAAGAAATCCATAGCCAGACTGCAAAAAACTTGTTACATTTTAAGCAGACATCGTTTATACACCATAGAATGAGAAAATACGTTTATACACGAGTGAGCCAAAAGTGATTGTGAATAGGCGAGTTTATGAATGATAAACTGGTATAAAACAAATGGTAAATCGTACAGATCATGCAGACTGATGAATCGAAATGACCTTGTTTTATGAAATTATAGAACAAATTAAAACATAACCGTAATATACAATTTAGCCAGAGTAAACTAAAAATTTTTGAAAAAATTTGTCTCAGATAATCTCAAGTTACACACAAGTATGTATACAACCTATAATTTGATTTTGATACTGATTGTGGTCTAAGTTATAGATTTACCATAGTAGAAAACTTTGCATAGAAAAATTAGGTATTTAATCATACATGCCAGTCACCTATTGATCGGATTATCACATACAGACCACAATTTGGAGTTAGTCTTTTAACAATAAACGAATCACTGGAACTTTGCGACTTAAAAACATCTTAAATAAACGAGAACATTTATGAAACCAAAAAACTAATTTTTAACATATATATTAAAAATAATAAATAACTAGTTAAAACCTGTTTAATCGCTAGTGATAAACGTAAAATATTGGTACTTTTAATTGTTAAGGGAAAAAACTACACTTACCCGGTGTCATCATGATCTCCGCCACTATAATCAATAAACATATCTGCAGGTTCATCTAATGCCCGTTCTATCAGTCGTGATGCTCTGTCAAAGAAACGATGAAATTTATCTGACCGCATAATTGCGTCTCTTTCTTCGTCCGTGAGTTGTATCACTGCATCAATTAAGAATTGATTTAAATGAAGATTGTTTTAATGACATTTAGTGAACAAAACAAACAATAAAAAAGCGAACCATAAACAAAAAGTATAAGGAGTTTCGCTAAATAAATGAAAAACTTTAATCAATTAACAAATTCGCATAATTAGCTTTAGCATTAATAACGTAACCTAATGAAGTACTGAAAACTGAAAGGAAAGTAGGTAATCAATCAGTAACTGATCGTTTAGCACCACAGAAATTGTGGTGCGCGCTACTTATAAGTAGTATATGACGCAAGTAAAAACGTAATGTCTGGCGGCAGAAGATGGGGGAAGATCAAGAAAGGAAGAGCGGGAACACAATGGGAATTGTATGAAACGCATGAACAGTGAAATATCAGACAATTGATTGATGTTTTGCAACAGGAACAGTCCAGTTCGATATGATGGATTGATATTTTGCAAATTAACGATTTACGATATGGTTTTCCTATTTTACCAATTAACGCTGTAATTTGCGATAAATACAATTCGGTTGCCCTCACCTGTGTTCTCCTTCACTACAAAATAACTATGACATGTAAATGAGAAGCTACACTGATTTCTTTCGCATGAAACCATCAATCATAACAACCAGATTTAGGAATACATTAGTGATACCAACATATCTTAGGCAGTCTAACGAATAAATTTGAATCGCTATCACCAAAAATATCAAATGCACATCAGGATGATTTACCAATCTAATTTGACTAAGTTATATAACATAAATCTAAACACTGTACCCGGCTCCAAATAAACTTAAATTTCCAATCAAGTCCATTTACATTATCATCAAACAGACTGAATAATGTGACTACTCTGAATTAGTAATAAGCAGTAATGTGTCAAGAAAACACTATTTTTTTCGAGCTTCGTATTCGTATATCATTAAAAAAAACAACTTAATTTAAACCACTTTGTACTGCTTTCATCTATTAATCATCAGCCTTCTGGTCTCACAATTTTAGTTAATCACTGTTTGCCGTACAATCTATAACCCGTTTCGTCAGTCAGTCAGTCAGATGCAACGTAGAACTTCGTACGTACGAATATCAGTTTAGGTTGCCATACTGCATTAGCACAGAGACGCAATTATCAATTCAAATCCCATAGTGGCAGAGATAGTAGAAGTACTGCTGGTAAAGGAGAAGATTAGGGTTCCAAGATATTATTGAAGAAGTATAATTCAGTGAAATAAGTTTAGAAAGACAAAGGTAGAGGTGTTGAGGAATCCATAAGATTAGGATTTGAGAGAACACAAAGGGCGGATGCATCTGCGCCATTGCAAACGATTCTGAGCTATGTCATTTAAGGTCTCTAACCATTGGTGACTTCGTCTAGCGGAACCCAACCAGGTAGCCTACATCTACCAACATGACTCAGTCCACTTGTCAGTGAATTCATGGATTCGATAAACCGTCTTGACTGTAACAGAAACAGAATGACTCCAAACAATCATGTTTCTTTGTATTTAGACCTATTGATTTTTGTTAGTTCTTGAATCATGCTAACACTATTGCAATGTTTCTCCTTAGTTTGTTTAAGCCAACATTTTCTACTGAACATGTTTTATATGCGGTATATTTAGTACGCCACAATAAGTTGATAAACTCAAGTTAATTCTGAAACCAAAATTTTCTACTACAATTTTTATTATTCTGAACTGAGCAAAACTGCTTGGTACTTATCCTTCATCGAAACCATTAAAGGCAGCTTTTCTAACCTTAGCCTAGCTAATGCGATAATTTCGATAATTGAATACTTTTGTGTTTAAACAACAATAAATATCCTTATAGCTTAGAAGACTCCGGAAACAATGAATTAATATAAAACATTTGTTAGGAACTAATCACGCAAACGAAAACTTATATAACTCACCTTTTAGGGCTCTCAGATGTTCATTTTCTCGTTCTGTATCTGCAGGAGTTTTCGCAGCAGCAATCGGACTAACGAGTGGCATTTTGTGTATTTCACTGATTACAGCAGTCATATCAAGAGTATCATTTACCGATCCGTCGAAGGGAAGCACTAAGATTCGGAAAAATCATACCGAAAACATTCTACCAAAGCAACTTTACTTAAATTTGACGAAAAGATGATAAACTTTGAATGAACTATTTAGCAATATGAGTTTGGTATAAAAAAAAGCTTGAAGATAAACAAATATTGTCAAGAAGAGTGACAGCCAGAAGTGGGTACATATCCATACAAGAAGAACATTTAAATGAATAAAACTGAAAAACTTAAGAAACAAGAGTGATTAGGTGAAGTATACCAAAACAAAGACAAATGATAAATCTGGAGTCGACTTACTAGTAGAAAACTCGTCATCCCACTCCAAATGGGTCATGAACTTCGGGGAACCTATAACCTCACGTGGCGAATCTATGGTAAACTTTCCCTAAGTAATAACTTACCAGTGCGAACGCCATTATTAACTAAGTGATTAGAAAATACAAAAAAGATACATACCATGCTGTGGAACATACGACTCGAGTGTTTGGATGAGTTTGGAATAAGATATGTTTTCTTTAGGAGGAACATTGATTTCACTTATTTGTGAAAATCCCAACGTTTTACGTTTTTTCTGGTTGTCAGTTTTCGTACTTGAAAGATGGTTGTGATGGAATCCAGACTTACTGTATTAAATCTGAAGCCCCTTTGGAGATGGTACGATCGTCTGAAGGTTGAGACAATGGCTCCTCGGAGACGGGAATTCCAAGAGTTCTCAATAACTCTTCAGTTTCTATCCGAAGACCTTGGGCTGAACCATAGTTGGTAAGATTATCCTGAGTCCCTCCATTTGTTCCTTCAACCTTCACCTTGTCTCGTTTGATTTTATTTTCCCTAAGGATAGCTAGTTTTGCTTTTTTCATCTCTAACTCAGCTTTGCGATCGTACGTTGACATCTTTGCTGTTGTTTGTAAGACCCGGTAATTTTAACCTTGTGACAAGGCTACCATTCACTCTTGCAGCAGCTATATTGCCAACTGATATTTCCAACTTGATAAGGATAATTTTGAGATATTGCAAAATAAAATTATGCTTTGGAACTTCAGACTGAAATAATTACCTTCTGATTGGTGTAGCGAAATGAATTTATGTGTTCGCTAAACCTATACCATAGTCATGTCACACTGTAAATCCCCAGTTTGAAATGTACATATTACTCATATCCCCTAGTATTTGTAGTGGTTAATAAATTGGCAAGTTTAATATTTCTCTCAGTTTTCAACAATAATTCTAACCTAATTAGGCATAGTGGATAAGCCCTAGCTGAAGGCTGTCAGCCAAACATCCACATTAGTCCATAGTTGGGTACGCGAAACCACTTAAATCCCTGAGACAACTTGATAACCGATCTGTTTTTCAAATATTCTATCGAATTACTTGATTTCTGACTTCTTGGTTTACTGGGTTTAATATATTCGATTAAAATGCCCTCACTGGCAAAAGCGATTTCACTATCTGAATTTCCATGGTATCTTCACATCATCCATTTCATGTTTTTAAAATTTGGGAATAACGGAGATGGGTGGACATCTCAAAATCAATTATTCAGCCCGCTAACCAGCTTTGAAGGTGATATGGCTAGCGTTCAGTATTACTTCACAGATTCTACGTGGTTGCTCCAAAAATAATAATAACAATAACTCAAGTTTACAGAAAATGAATAGGTGATAGAAAACTTCCGAACGTAAAACTGGAATGACTTTTAGTTTCTAAAAGTTCAGTGAAAATATTTATAGCTAAAATTTAAAAGATCTTGATCATAAATCTGATATCCACCTGATAAGTAACCATGAATAACATTAAAAGAAAGATGAATAAAGAAAACTAATTATTTGTCAACTTCAGCAAGATCCGCAACCACGCACTCAATCCTAAGACTTACTTTCTAACTGTAACTAATTTCTGTCTATTCTTTCTATGTCTACTTCCGATTCTCGGCGTAATGTGTATTTGGGTCTTCCTCTTTTCCGTTGGCTTTGAGAGATCCAAGTTAGAACATGCCCTGTGACACGGCTGGATGATTTCCACAATGCATGTGCCATCCACTTCGAGAGCTTCTCCCTGATTTCTTCTTCAGATAGAATCTGGTTTGTTCTCTTCCACATTAGGTTGTTGCAGATAGTGTCTGGCCAACGGATGAGGAGTATTTTGTGTAGACAGCTGTTTTTAAACACCTGTATCTTGTGGATGATGACTTTCATGGTTCGCCAAGTTTCCGCACCATGGAGTAGAATTGTCCTGACATTTGTATCGAAATTTTTGACTTTGGTGTTGGTTGATAGACGTTTTTAGTTCCAGATGTTCTTCAGTTGTAGAAATCCTGTCCTTATTCTGCCAGTTTGTATCTTTCCATCGCATCAGATCCACCTTGTTTATGATGGTTGCTGCTCAGATATGTAAAGGTTTCCTCATCTTCCATAGCTTTTCTGTCAAGTGTGATTTGGTTGGTGTTCACAGTGTTGTATCTAATTTTCTTGTTTTTTCCTGTGTGTATGTTGAGGCCTGCCGCTGCCAAAGTGGCCGTCTCTCCGTGCTTACCTCGAGACGTTGAGGTTTTCATGATCTAGTCAACCACAAGCAGAAGGGTAAGGGGTGAGCGTAAACAACCTTGCCTGACACCGATCTTCAATTGGAATGAGTTAGTGAGTTGTCCTCCATGCACGATCTTGCAATTGAATCAATCGTCAGAATTCCGTATAATGTTGACCAACTTCTCTGGAACACTGCGGTGTCGAAGGAGTTTCAACAATATCATCCTGTCCACGCTGTCGAATGCCTTTCTTTAATCAAATAGATTGGTGTGGAGTAATGAGTTCCACCCAGTTGTTTGCTTGTCAATAATCCGTTGTGTCAGTATTCGATCGGCACACGATCGATGCTTATGGAGTCCAGCCTTCTGATCTCGAAGTTGGGTGTCTACGAAATCTTTCATTCTGTTCAATAACACTCATTGCCGAAATTAGCACACATTTCCATTTTTAGAGATGTGTTGTTCCTTTTCATTTGCTTGTTTGCTTCTGTATGTTCAGTGCGTGCTTTGGCTTCCCATGATTTTGTTTAGCTAGGATTGATTGCTGCCCTCCTGTTCTTCCTTTCTTGAATTTCATTCACAGTATCATCAGTTATCGATTCATTGTAAGGTAGGTATTTGTGCCAGGAAACCTCATGTGATTGAAATGCATGCACGCCTTATTATATTCTTATATATCATTGAAAATTCCTAAATTCACTCACCCCAAACCTATTATCAGAACGAAGATGGGATATACCAGATGAAATAGGTTTATTTGCTGGTTGTTTCGTTGGGTCGAAGAAAATGCCAAAATATGCCAGAGGAAAATCGAAAGTACAGTGCAGTCGAAACAAGATGGGGGCCTCAAAGAGCTGAAGCGCATGACTGTTGTGTAATTTAAGTGTATATGCAATGAGTACGAACGTCTTTGCGTAAAATTAAGGTAGGGATAAACAAATATTCCGTAAAACATTCGTTGGTAACGAATTTCGTTTCTAACCAACCGTGTTTTTCTTCGTATAATTGAAATCACAACAGATAAGTTGCTCAGCAGTCGGATTTTTTACACTTAGGCAAAGATAAACAATGAACTCTAGATTTTCCCTCATACAGTGAAACTGTCTTGGCATTTATATTGAATATTCAACTCCCAAGGCAGTGTCAGTCATTTGTGTTACTCGTTCTGATTAACATTTTTTAGCAAGCTGGTTTGCTAAGGGATAAGGTCACTAACCCCATGTTTAAATCTCCCATTTCTGAGCTTGTTACTGGGATTAACGCAAGAAGGACTCCATGTGAAATATGAATCCAAGGAAACATCTTGTTAATGACTTTGTAATCCTTAAATTACAAATTCATATCATTTTTATCCCAATTTAATATGGGTAATTTATGAATAATTCGTGGATATTCGCAGCTGGACAACTCTTTTGTCTGAAACAGGTTTCAGACAGGGGATTCCCAAAGGCAAGTCAAACTATAAGTAGGAATAAGGGTGTCTTGTGAGTTGAGACAATATAATGCCGATGGCCAAGTTATCAGAAGGACAGTTGTGATTGCAGTTAAAATATATTTGTTGGAGATCTCCCGGTGTCGAAATAATAGCAAGATCTTGCCAAAGTTTACGGACCAGACTACCAATCCGTCATATTGATCGCCCCCAGAAAGGTTTTACACTTTCTATACGAAGCGGCTTCGTTCGGGGGATTGATCGGCCAACGTGCGATCGTACGACGTAAGGGTTGACGGACAGGAAGCTACCAACGGAGCTCGAGATATCACCGAAAGTCTTCTACGTCGAACTTTACCAGTAGTAACATGCTAGGTTTCCTGCTCCAGTTGGCGAGCCATACAGGTGTGGCTCGCATTCAGAGTCTGAAGATGGCGTTCGTGGGCGTCCGGACCAGAAAATGCTGTAGACGTGGGACAGAACCAGATTGAGCGAAAGGTCCAGAAACGATCAGAACGACCAAGTTCAAAACCATACTAATGCCAGATATATTCGGAACTATAACATCGAATGAGCGCATTGACAAGAAAGTGGGTGATCAGGTCAGCTTTCCCCAGGGTTGACCGAAATGGACGGCACCAGCAGGATGATGGTCGGAGTTGGCTCAGGATAAAAAAGCGTACCAGTAGGCGTACCTGGCGACCGGAACGCGATACGGTAGTCTCGTGCGTGCCTTATTAGTCTGCAATCTCATTCGGAGTCAAGGGAGGCGTAGTCTGTTTACCTGGACCTGGGACCGGAGTCTCATAGATGGTTCAGATGACGCGTGCTGTTGACTGGTACATAAGAGTGAGGTCTCCGATGTGTCTAGTGTGGGGTCAAGAGTAGATGTAGGGATCTCGCTAGTAGGTTTCATGTGTCTAGCATCGGGTACCAAATTATTAGGTAGGGCACTCTCATGGACAAGTGCTGGCTTTAGACGATCGTTGCTGACTATCTTGACGTAGCCATGTCAGTCAGTCTTGAAGGTCTTTTCACGACGAGAAATCATGTGAAAAGGTCCTTTGTAAGGCTGCTTCGAAGGTTTGCTTACCAAATCCACTTGTATGAAAACATGTGAACAGGTAGATAACTCACGAGGGAGAGCGACCTGTCTATGTTGTAATCGAGTTGACACCGGAGGCAGTGTCTCCATGTATTCAGACAGTCGTTGGACGTAGTCTGATTTACTAAAATTAATACTGCTCCGTGGTGTGAAAAATTCCCAAGACAAATGCAACGTTGTGCCATAGAAAAGTTCAGAGGCACATCACTGAATATCTGCCATCAAACTAGTTCCGATACCTAAGTGGAGGAGCGGTAAGGTGTCGCACCAATTGTAGCATTAATGTGCTCGAAGAGCACTTTTAAGATGGTGATGAGACTGTTCAAATGAACCATTTGAAGCTGGGTGGCAGGCGGTAGTGAGCATAGGTTCCGAATCAAGCAACCGGGTTAGCGAGCAGAATGAAGTATCCATTTGTTTTGAGAAAGTCCCTCCATGTGCATTTTGGTAATATGTTCTTACTTACTTTTTCTGTGCAACATTTTGTTGGTCTGTTTAATCCCATTTTGTGATGTTAATATTTGTATTTTGTTAGAGTTTCTATTTCTTACCTTTATTGGAATTTCTATGTTTTCTGCTGAAGTGTATTATGTTGTTTAAATTGACACCTAATTATGGCTACAGCCATATCAGATATGATACCCTGGCGGGTAAAACGTGCATCTGGACTGGAAGGGTGCAATTCGGATTGTAACGGAAGCATTCTCCCAGAATTGGAAACACATTGTGTTAATTTTGACGGAGAACAGTGTAATAATCTTTACGTAATTATCTGCAAAATTTGACTAATAGTAGAACCGTTTCTTACCCAGATCAATTGCTTTCTTTCTGGATTAACAGGGAAAGACGCGTATCTAAGCTTCTAGAAC